CATTAAATATCTGTAATCTGTTAATATCTTCTGTTGGAACTACAAACAGCTTCACGACTTATTAGAAAAGCTGTTGTGTTGTAGTCCAAATCGAAATGTTCAACTTAACTGCTTGACTCAAATGTAGTTTTTAAAAAGGATTACCGCATGTAATTTGTAATCCAGGATTTAGAGGATTCTTTGTGAATAGTTTATTCAGTGATGCTATCAATAGTGACATTGCACTGGTTGACCTTTGTTCAGGGAAGCAAGAAGAAGCAGATTCCGGCAGATCACTTGAAGCGAAGGTTGAAGCGTTTCTATGACTGTGTCTCAGCCATTATGACCTTCCAACTACAATCCCTCTGTCTCAACTCTATATTGGATTATACTACTTTTATTCTGGATATCGGGGTTAGTATACTAAAGTAAAATTGTTATTTGAAAGGTCTATTAATTATTGGATGAGTAGCTTCCTCCACTAAAAACTAAAGTAGGCCTAATTAGCGAATTTCCCTATAGGGAAGTAGCTATTACCGTAGGTCTCATGGTAAGACCTAAGCCCGGGACCGATTTACTTTTTCATTTTGATGTCCCCAGAGGCCAAAAACACCATTCGTTCAAATTTTTATATATCTATATATAGAGAGATATATATATATATATATATGTGTCCATCCGCACGATAACTTGAGTAATTTTTGTCCGATTTTGATAAAATTTGGTTTGAAGGTGTAAGGCAGGATAAACTTGAATGAGTTCGCGAACCAGCATGATCGGACTATGGGAACGGGGGTTTATGGGGGGTTTTATGGGGTAAAAATAGGTTTTTCCCATTTTTGACCTTAAAAACACAAAATTTCACAATTTCTTTTTAAACCATTTTGTAGAGCTTAAAAAAACAAATAATTTAGTATATTGAAGCGTTATTATGCGCCTAATTGTTATGGAGAAAATTCAAAAAAATTGTAATTTTAAAATTCCCATGTTATTCTTATGGAGAATAAGTCAACTGTTGTAGTTTGCTTGTTAATGAACATATTTTGATCGATTTTGGAAAATACTTTTATTTCTTACTAAACTATTATCATTTTATAAAAACAATCTTTTTTACCCTCCCTGTTGCAGCAAACCTAAGTACTCGTTAAACTAATTCTATTTAAATAGGAAATAAATGTGGTATTTTTATAAAGGCATTTCAGTGTAAATCCAATTAGGTTAATGGAAATTCGCTTAGTCTGCAGGTTTGCTGCGGCGGGGGTATTATATATTTAAGTTAGCGATTTTTACCAGACCTACTCTTTACTCAGGTATATATCTAAGATAAGATTCCTAAGGAAGAAAATTATCCAACATGCAAACCCACACTTAATTAACTAAACCACATCTACAAATTAATTAGTTAAGGGGAATTTGCATTTAGGCCTACATAATATGAGTCCATAAAGATAATGTGAACACTTTGAAGGCTTGCAGAAGCTTTGACTGAATAATTGAAAATGTTTCTCAGTAAGCATTATGATGAATAAGGAAGTTGTGTTTCTAATTTTGCTTAAAATCTTCTTTTAGTTTCTGAGAAATTGTATTTGCAAAACTAATTTTACTTTATATTCCAAATAGCATTGGGTAATAATAATAATAATCATATTAATCCTTTACAGAAGTGTTTTCATTACTTTTTATTTGTGTTGAATCAAACCAATTAGGCTAAGGTATTACCGTCTTTTGCAAAATAATAAGAAGCTAGCTATGGTATAGTGCCAATAATGATTTGGTTAAAAAATATGTGTCCAAAAACAATGAAACAACACATTAAGAAAGTTATTATTTTAATATCATTTTATTGATCTATTTTATTTTATTATTCTATTGTTGGTGTTTATCGTTGGTGATTCACACTTTTGGTACATTGTTAATTGTCATTATTTATATAACATATTTATTTTACAATTAACCCATTGACAACAGAATTTTTTAAATTCTATATTAATAATTTTTTTATGGTTATGGCCTTTTATGTAAGTTATCATATAGGCTATGTATTTCAATAAGATATGTCCATTTTATCAAAAATAAAAGTCGAAAAATTAAAATCTGTGTTTTCCTCCTATGATATCAGTTACTGTACACTCACTAATGCCGCTAGCTTCAACCCAAGCCCTATACTCCTTTTTCATTTTACACGTTTTATTGTGGACCCTCCACTCCAGCTAAGCCACACATCAGCAAACTCAATTGCACATGTGCGGGATTCGAACCAGCGTGCTTGTAGCCGACTGAGCTATCATGTCACCTTGGCTGAACGGGTCGATTGCCAGTTTATGACGACACTAGCGCTCTTTGGTTGGATTCGACGTACTACTTTAGGGCCAGTGGGTTAGCAGTATGACTAAGTTATCTCATGGCAAAACACGGTGACAGGCTACACACATAAGTCATCGTCAGGGTCTTTTGATAACTGTCTAGAATAGGTTCTTCTGAGGACTAACGTGGCGACCTTCGGATTTGTAGGCAACCAATACAGTTTGTCTAACTAGTGAGAACAACCATGTCTTGTTTGCTCAAGCAGGACTTCCAACAACCTCCCATTCGATGTCATCAACTACTAATAATACACTACTAATATTTCCTATTTACAGATGTCCAACCCTGGGTTTGAGATAAGCATTCTTCAGCGGAACAAGATAATCCAGTTTGAACCGTCGTTCGCCAAGTTCCACGAGGTTGTACTGCGAGTGTACGATCAGATGATTGAAGCTGTCAGTAGGATACCACGTTTGGAGACTAAGCTGTACATTGATCTGGAGGACACGCCCAAAGAACTTAGGGTAACATTACGAATAATTACAACTTGTTAATGGTCTCGTAACTCTTTACCAAGTTCCTCTACTAGGCCTACGTAAGGTGTTTTAATCATTAGAATTTTCTACCGTAGAGTAAAACTGTCTATGTTTCATGGAGATAGATGATGATCAAACTCATTGAACCCCCACTCATTTACAATATCCTTAAGATTCTAAAAATAAATCGCTTAGCTAAGATTACATCCATGTTAAAGGATTTAATTGGTAGTAAAAAATAAATCATGAATTAGGTTCTCTAAAAAATATACAATTTTAACTTACTGCCTATGCCTATTTTAGTGTGGTGTTATTTTTTTTTATTATTAACAATGTTACGCATATGAATGGTCTTCTATGGATAGGTATCACAACCATTTTACTAAACTATTTGTGTTTTTGTCTTAACTTAAGCCGATTTCCTTTCCAGCCAGTGATTTTAGATGAAATTGTCAATGAATGTAGAACGAAAGTAGAAGAAACTCTTCACGAGCAGAGAATCGGACCTGAACTGCGAGTCCAGGACTTTGACGATTACATCCATCTCATCAACGGAGACGTAAGTTACAAATTAAGTTATCAAGCAATAAAATGTTACATGGTGAATTGAACCTGTAGATGTACAGCAATTCAAATGTTTTAAGTACTATAGGTAACCGGAGTATCTATTTATGTTCCTTGCCCACCATAACTGTTTGACGTTCCATTGTATTTCGTCTGCATGTTTTGTGTTTAAACATTTATATTTAAATAATATTTACATATTATTAGGAAAATATTTTCAGGCGCAAGAAGAAGTAGAGAAGTTCCTGACCCAGGACCACTCGTTTGAAGACTACAAAGTGCAAGTTGCGTTGTACGACACGTTGATGAAGGAGATCCCTATCCAGCTGGCACACGTCATAACAATGGGACTGTTTGAGATGCATCGCGAGGAGCTGATCGCAACAATGGTGTCCCAGGCGAGGAACCTTCGCGATCAGCTGATAGCTCGACTCACACGCGACTACCAGAACCTCTGCAAGCAGTAAGTGTGGGTTAGGCCTGTTTTAGTGATTATCAGAATATTTAAATTATAAGATAAATTGTATAAGATAAATTGTTGTAAGATAAATTGTTGTTATAAGGTAAATTGTAAGATAAATTGTTTTTTTATCCAAGGAACACTAATACCTTTACACGGTTTGCACAACTACTGCTTTAATACTCTTAGGCTATGTTTGATTCGACTAAAAAACTGATGATGTTGACGAATTTATCACTTATTTAAGGTGTCCAGTTTTGTAAATAGAAATTTATTGTAAAATATGACGATGCCATACGTATGTTTTGTATGTTTTACGGCAATAAATGATTTGATTTGATTTGAAAGCGAATGAAGTTGACTTGGTTAAAATGTATTGTCTTCTGCCATTTTTGTGATTGTAACTAGTTGACTAGTTGGTTTTCTTACTTAAAGATTAAAGTAAGTCTCATTTATAGAGTTAAGTAAATTGGTAAGGTCATAACAAAACAAGATAATGTGGTTTAACAACTATATGTGGACTATGTGATTATGTGGACTTACAACTTGTGGTTAGTCATGGATGATGAAAGCACAAATATAGCAAATCACGCATGAATTATTCGTTCATGTGTAAATACCTCTTCCTTCGTACCAATTGGCCCTCAAATCTTTGAAAAGCCTGTGTCCCTTGTTGGTGACTTTAAGTTAGGTTGTTAGATGATCTCATTAAAATATAATATTTCACACACAAAACAATGGAATATATTTTACGTTTGGCATATTGTTTTGACACTCAATAATTATTCCACTATCGTGATTTGATATGAATCACATTGCTCTTAAATAATTTACCACGAATTATCTCAAATCTTGATGTTTTGAATGCAAATAAAATGACTTAATCCCTATGAGATGAAAACTTCTGATTTGTAGGCTGGGAGAAGACTACCAGCAGATCGCAGACAAGGCACTGTCAGAGCCGGCAAACACTGCGGAACTGATGAAGCTGATAGAGTACGTGAGAGTCGTGGAGTGTCAGACGGTGTTTGAGATGGAGGACAGACTCAAAGAAGTGATGGGATACATTCTGTTCCTATCAGACTTCACTCTTATATCTGCCATAGAGATGAAACAGAACTCGCTGACCTTCCAGTGGTACAACAAGATGTCCAGTGTGTTGGAGGAGAACAGACGCATCGTGGAGCAGAAGACACTGGAGTACCAGCAGTCACTGAAGGTTAGTGGAATGTTTAATCAATTGATCGTCCATTCAATCGTTAAGACAGTGTGGCACATAAAGCTGATAGTTTGTGTCGAATTGAGTAGCAAGTCTTGTGAAGCGTTTTTACTGACTAACACCTTTCGTTTATTTAGGACCATCTTTATTAGACAAATAATAATAATTATTATTATTTTGGTGGTTATCTGCACCGTTGGAATTTGTTTCACGCTTTTGCGAAGGAACGGTCCAAACCCTGCTCTTGTTACTATTTAACGTAGACTTTTTAGTATCGGTACCTAGATAGTATCATTAATTTATCACCCAATGACAAATAATGGCATCTAGGCCTGGTTTTTTATTAATCAAAAATTTTGATTTGATGGCAATGACTTTAACAACCACTCGGCTACCCAGACAATTATCAAGGAAATGTTTATTAAATAAGTAAAATTTTGTTTTTAGTGATTTAGTGCTTTTTGGATTATGATAAAGATATAATTGCCACTTTTTACTTTAAAGCATTCTAAACTCATTCCAGGAAAGAATTGAAAAGTTCAAAGACGATTTGGAAGCGTACATGAAGCAAGTTGATGAGCTGCAAACGTACGGAGACATCAACGAACTTCATCGCTACCAGAAGAAGGCTATGATGCTTGATAACAAACTGGACCAAGCCATGGCGAGAATTGATCAGTTCAATGAAGAGGAGAAGGCCTACAAGTGGGAAGAGAGCTTCTTCCCCATGAGGAAACAGGTAATTTAATTTTGCCGACTAAATTAATTAGTGTAGCATCAAAGATGTATCAATGATTGGATAGTTTCTCACAAGTTTCCATTAAAAATATACCTTGTGTAATTGTGTTAACTGTTAACATTGGCCTAATCTTACAGTCATTGACCAGTACTATTTATTGGATTCCCTGCATTATTTGCACAGATGTACACATGAATGATTGTCACAGATTGCAGACAGACTCGCGCCATACAAGCGTCTCTACGACAACGCTGTAGAGTTCCTGGAGAAGCACGAGCTGTGGACGACCAGCAGAGTAGGCTCCTATGACCCTGAGGATATTGACCAAGAGACGCAGGGCTTCTACCGCAACATCTACAAGCTGGAGAAACAGTTCTCTGACCTACCTGCTCCGGGACAACTGGCTAGCCAGGTACCTTCATGTATACAAAAACTTAAAAAAAAAAAATGTTTCAAGATTGCTAATTTAATTTGTCAAATTTCCTTTCTTTGTGATTGACATAGTGGTCAATGACCATGAAAGATTAATACTTTTTATATGTATGTAAATGTATATCATACTGAGAAGACTCACCCACTATAGACTTAAATCTACTCTTCCGATCAAATGCAAATTAAATCTATTCTGGCCTAGGGCATAATTTACTAAGAATACCTTAATAACTGTAAGATATGCAGTTACGTTTGTTCCAAAATTTGTTTGTAATATAACAGCTTAAACACTGATCTGCTATTATTGTAGGTAAGGTAACCATAGTATTAATTTTTCATGGTTAACTTATAAGAAATGTCGATTGATAGCCCAATGAATGAATTGGTTAATGTCCTATCTTGAATAAAAATCGAGTTCTGGTACATCTCTACTACAATTTTGTTTCCAATCCTAATTTTCATATTTATTTTAGATAATTTCCTTACTGAGATGTTTCAGTTAGTGTTAATTTATTCTAATATCTGATTAAATTTGTATGAGAAAATGGTTTTGGTTTCTCGTTTATTTAGTTCTTGGTTATCGTACTAAATTGTTGTTATTATAACACACCAATAAAATTTCTGTTCCAATAATTTTCAGGCTATTTAACTCATCATTAGCTATTTTGCATGTTAAGATGGATCATATTACCTTGTATATTTAAAAAAGCCTTTATCGGCATTTTAATAACGCTGATGTATTTTACAATAAACTAAATTACTTATTTTGTTGTTGTAACAGGTTAGGCAGCAAGTGGAAGATTTCAAAGGTCACATGCCGATTATAATGACACTCGGAAATCCAGGCATGAAAGAGCGTCATTGGGAAAGAATATCAGAGATTGTCGGCTTTCCCCTTAGAGCAGACGCGGAGTTGACTTTGGCGAAGATTATCGATTTGGGTCTTGAAGAATACATCCCGAGGTTTGAGGCCATCAGTGATTCTGCGACAAAGGAGAACAATCTTGAGAAGAATCTCAACAAGATGATCAATGAATGGAAAGACATTGAGTTCACAGTGTTGCCTTACAGGTCTGTGGAATTGAAATGAAGGTTCATCATTGCTACTTTGGATTTACTTACTTCAAACAAAAACCTAGACTAGAGTAAATTTTGAAAAAAATCATGTTCAAAAAAGATACTATAATGAAAAGTACTCTGTGTTAGGTAGGCTACTGTTATTGGCGTTATTGCTTTAGCTTTCATCAGATCTCACCATGCATTTAACAGATGTTTGTGTTTACAGAGACACTGGGACCTACATCCTGTCCAGTGTGGATGACATCCAACTGCTGCTTGACGACCACATTGTCAAAACACAAACAATGAAGAGTTCGCTGTACATCAAGCCGTTTGAAGAAACCATTTTGTGAGTTGTGTAAGACGTGTGTTAGAGATCAAAAATGAAAAATGAAACATTATATCTGTATTTTACATCCTTTAGTGATTTTATTTTGGACTTTGGAATATAAGTTGAAATAAATTTTCATTAGGATAAAACTTAAATTTTATTAACTTGAATATTAAACCTCTTATGATTGGATTACAGTGGCTGGGAGGCCAAGTTGTCGCTACTGCAAGAGATACTGGACGAGTGGCTGAAGGTGCAGAGTACATGGATGTACCTGGAGCCCATCTTCTCATCACCTGACATACAACAGCAGATGCCTGAGGAGGGACGAAGGTTCAGTGCTGTAGATAAGGTGTGTGATTGTTATCGTCTGCAAGATGGTCTTACTAGTCCATCACTACTGTAGAGAGCAGGGTGTAACTCATCAAGGTCCTGGGTTCAAATCCCACCAGATAAATAGATGGCTTTGTCTATCTGACTATGTCTCAACCCTAGTCGTATGTGACGTGAAAAACGGTCCCGAGAGAGTCATATACTAAAGTTGTGGGTAAAATATACATTTTTTTGAGTAGAGCCCCAGCCTCTTGTTCTGGATGTCCAGATAGAACTTTTAAAATATGTATCATCTTCAGTTGGTTTTTATATGTGTTAAGTTCATTGGTTTATTCAAATATTTTACAAATTTGGGGTTCCCTTTAACATTGCATATTTGCCTGTCATAGATAGGCCTCAAAGATATTTGATGACATTGTGGGGTTACAATACTACCAGAACGTCTTTATGGAACACCCCTTATAGAATAGTTTTTGACATTTAGAGTAGTATTTGATAAGATATTAGTTCTAAAATGTATCCATAGTTTAGTTATGGAAAGCAAATGGACATCTAATACCTATGTGGATTGTGGATTGGTTGACAGGTTTGGAGAGATGTGATGAAGACAGTAGTGTCGGACACCAAAGTCATGTCCGTCGTGGAGATTGACAAGATGTTGGAACGTCTGAAGAAGTGCAACAACCTGCTCGAGATGATACAGCGAGGTCTCAATGAGTATCTGGAGAAAAAGAGGCTCTACTTCCCAAGGTTCTTCTTCCTCTCTAATGACGAGCTGTTGGAAATCCTCTCAGAGACCAAGGATCCCACTCGGTGAGTCAAAACCACCACTCACTTGGTGAGTCGGTGGCTCAGTTGGTAGCGTAACGGACTTTGAGCCCAAGGCAGCGATGTTGTGGGTTCGGATCCTGGTCACTGCCACTAAAATTTATCTGTACAGTTCACCTTCGTACCGTACCGGCTCATCCCTTGCTTTGCTGGATAGGTTCCACGCACAGATCTGTAGTCTATGTGGACGGGCAAATGCAAGGTTAAAAGAGGTCGCCAACCTCTTAAAAAAAAAAACACGTCAATTTTTCACTGTTTCTAGTTATTGTTGAGGAATTGTAAACTACCAAGTTATGTGGCTGGAAGTAAAATTTAATATGACAGTGAAGGTGATAAACAATATAGCTCGGAAGTGTTCTCAATCATTCATTGGATCCAAAACAAAATACTCTTGAGTGAACATTGTGTTATGTGTTGTTACAGTGTGCAGCCTCATCTGAAGAAGTGTTTCGAAGGTATCGCCAAGCTGCAGTTCACCGAGGACCTAGATGTGACCAAGATGAAGTCCACTGAAGGTGAAGAGGTTGCTCTAGTGGATGTCATCTCCACCTCCCAGGCCAGGGGACAGGTGGAGAAATGGCTGCTGCTGCTGGAGAAGGATATGAAGATCAGCATACACAAGGTAGGAGCATCAGCATACACAGCAGAGACAACCTTTGGTTCAATTAAACTGCATGGCTTGATCCATGCACTGTGGGTGATGTGTATAATCATTAAAACGTTAGTTAGCTCAATATGTTAAAAATATAGAGTTTAATTCATGTTTCAACAAGACAATTGTATCATCATAACCAAGGTAAATCGTGGTAAGGTGAAAAAGGGATACAGCCTAACTTCACTTATATTAATTACTTGATTAAGTGATGTACTCTTTGTGTGTACTCATAATTAAAACTGAATATGAGGGTTAACATAGCTATTTAAATAAGTTAAATTATCTAGACAAATACACTACATTTTAAAAATGCAGTTAATACATGTACGTAAAATATCTAAACAGTAGTCCAACAATTTAACTCTATTGTTTAACCTGGGGATTACATTTATATTTGCCATAGCTCATACTACACTATTAGTTAACTACTTTGGGAGTGAGGTGATCTAATGTTAGAGTGTGGGATTTAGGTCTTTAAGGTCCCGGGATCAAATTATACAATTACCAATTGATATTATCTAAGTGATGATGCCACAACCCTCTACGGTTAGCCTGAAATGATGTGAAAAAAGGTCTGGGCTAAAGTCTAGCACCCTAAGATAAGTTGGGATATACATAGGCTGCACTACTAACTTAATTTAAAACAAAGTTTGTTTTTTCATAGGCACTGCTGAAAATTCCCCTCTAACTTTCTTGTAATTTGTGTTTCCTCTTTCTGCAAACGCAAAATGTTAGCGTTTTGCATTATTTTTACTCATTTTTCAATAAATTCTCTTACCGATCAAGCCATTTACTTGCTCCTTTTCAACATTTCAACCCCGTATTTCACTATATCCTCTTTAAAAGCGCCACTCTATCGCACTTTATCTTAGCCATCAAAGCCTAAACAAGCACGTTATATAAAAAAAATGTTTCCGTCATTTCTTACTGTTTTTATTTTTTTCATCACTTTACTGTATAGTTTACACTAACCTTGTGTTGTGGCCAGATGATCGAGCTGGCCATGGAGGCGTACCCAGACACGCCCAGACAACAGTGGGTGTTGACGTGGCCTGGCCAGACTGTGCTGGCCGTATCATCTACATACTGGACCAGTGAGGTACATTCGGCCATAGCCAGGCCAGGCGGTCTACCTGAGTATCTGGCCAAGTCTAACTCTCAGATAGACAACATCATAGAACTGGTCAGGGGCAAACTGGAGACACAGAATAGGATCACACTGGGTGAGTTTTGGTTTACAGTTAGCCATTTTCAACTATTATTTTTTCATAAGGTATTTACTCCACCACTGATCACTCTTGACTTATATTATATTTATTTATTGATTTAAAAGTGTTCGCTAGAACACTCTGAGACTTAAATGTAAACACACTTTCATAAACATCAAAACCAATCTTTAGCCCATCTTCCCCTTTCCTTTTTCCAAAGTAAAGTTTATGTGTGTGTTACTGTTGTAAACTCACCCCTATGGTGTGTGAATGTTATTACAGTTCATCTACCAGTCTTTAATTTAAGTGACAACAAACAACCAAGACATACCGTTATACGAATGCTCTCTCTGAATGCTAATTCTTGTGTTTTCAATCTTAAATACTAAGTGTTCATTGATCTTTATCACAAATTGGATTATTCATTATTCATAATCACCGTAAGTAAACCTATTTTACAATGTCATGATGTTCTACAGAGGCACTGGTAGTCATTGATGTCCATGCGAGGGATGTTGTGAGTTCACTTGTCAAGGCAAAGATTTCCAAAGACGATGATTTCCAGTGGCTCTCCCAGCTTCGCTACTATTGGCAGGTGATGTAAACATGATATATTTAACTTTTGATCTTGGTAGAAAAATACAATTATATTTACTTGGTACTAATTATGATAAAATTGTTTCGTAAACAAGTTTATACTTTGAACATTTTATGAGACAAATGGGTACTATGCCAATTTTGTCTGGTTAGTTGTTGAACCATGTATGATCTTGACGTTAACTCAAGTTTTATTTGTCTCAATCAAAAATTTTGGTGATTTGAGTCTGAAATAGGTTTTGTGAGGTCAAGAACAACTTATTAGAGAAATGGAATATTTGTGCGTTATCTTAGTGGTCAAAGAGAAAGTTTTTAAAAATTCCTCTTGCTAGACTTATTATGGTTTATGTACCTAAATAAATATGTACCTAAATTGTAAACTTTCCTTCTGTGTAACAGCTACCCTGCTTATTCAATGCAGTATTGTATATTGCAGGAGAATGCATTGGTAGTAAGTATGATAAACTCTACGCTCAAGTATGGCTATGAGTATCTGGGTAACTCGTCCAGGCTGGTGATAACTCCGCTGACAGATCGCTGCTACAGGACTTTGTTTGGAGCTCTTCACTTGCATCTTGGTAACTAGGAGAGTTTATTGTAACATTGGGAAGTATGTTGGTAGTAGAAATTTGGTACGTTAATGTTGAATGAGTTGATAGCCTTTAAATTGGTCTATAAGTATGAAAGAGTTATGTGTTAGAACTAAATATTAAATACCTCCAACATAAAGCCTTTTACTGTGGATTAAATAGGTTCGGAATTTGAATTTACCAACAGCCCCTTTAGTCTGCACTTAAGATTTTAAAAATGTGTCACCAAAAGGGTTATTGTGCTGGTTAGATAATGAATTTAAAAGATGCAGTTTTCTTTTCTAATAATATTATAATATGTTGTAAGGTGGAGCTCCAGAAGGACCTGCTGGCACTGGTAAAACAGAGACTACCAAGGATCTGGCCAAAGCAATCGCTAAACAGTGTGTGGTGTTCAACTGTTCTGACAGCATGGACTATATTGGGCTCGGCAAGTTCTTCAAGGTAACTAACTAGTCTTGATAAGAAGGCTTACAAACATGTACCTAAATTGTTAAACTTTCCTTCTGTGTAACAGCTACCCTGCTTATTCAATGCAGTATTGTATATTGCAGGAGAAGGCATTGGTAGTAAGTATGATAAACTCTACACTGAAGTATGGCTATGAGTATCTGGGTAATTGCTTAGAAGGTCTATTATAATAGTTTATGTATGAAAATGTGTAATTTGTTGTGTACAAATGTTTTTAATTTATCAAAATTTAAAAATCTATTAAATAGTTTTTGTTATCAGCTCTGTTTTAACAGAAAAAACAAAGGGCTAATAACAAGAAGTTGGATGGTTGTGATGGAATTGGTAAAGACAGACTGTTAAACATAAAGTGGTTGACTTGACTAAGGTGTTGGAGCTTAGAGACCTCGTAAACCAAATGTTGATCTACTGTAAACATATAATTGATGATGTAAATAACAAATATTTTACAGAAATATTCTTCTTACCTAAGAGATCATGGACCCACAATACAAGATCTGTTAAAAACAACCAGAATGAAGCATTTAGTATATGATAGAATCTCCTTTAGATAAATAAAGGAATTGAAACATTTCTTTGTCACTTTGGCTTTAATAAGTTTAACTTATTGATAATGATATTTTTCTAGGTACTTACCTACCAGGTCTGATCATGAAAGTCGCCATTGCTTTCTATTTTATTTTATAAATTTAAACCATAAAGTGAAAATTTTACTAGAAGAAACCATATTGTTCCAAATTGTTAACCCCGTATTTCTTTAATTTTTAATAATGCATAATTTTAGCCCATGCCTTTAAATGCAATCTTCCACTCTTCCTTTAGGGTCTTGCGTCTTGTGGTGCCTGGGCCTGTTTTGACGAGTTCAACAGAATAGACCTAGAGGTATTGTCAGTTGTGGCTCAACAGATTCTGACAATCCAACGAGGAATCAACGCTGGCAACCCCAAGTTGTGGTTTGAAGGTACGGAGTTGAACCTTGACCCGACCTGTGCCGTGTTTATCACAATGAACCCTGGGTATGCCGGGCGCTCTGAACTGCCTGACAACCTTAAGGTGAGCCTATTATGCATTTCTTAAGCAAAGCATGTAAAGAAAAAATAAGACTGTCTTGACTCATATATTTAAATATGTATTTAAATATATTACTCTCCTTACAATACTCTCAATAATCAATTCTTTACAAATCTTGGTTGCCCCTAGGTTGGAAGAACTGTGTGAACAATAATTAATCAACAGAGCTTTGGCAATGGAAGTTTGAAGTTAAATAAAAATTGAGTGGGCCCTATAGAATAAAATTATTCCCAGAGATTTTTAGGGGGCGTCCCTGGTGCTGTTTGAAGTTCTTCCAAGCTGAAAACAAATCTTAAACATACTATGAATTTACTTTGCTCACTACTACTCTAACTTTAGTATTGCACTTCAATGTGAATCTTTTGTAGTGGCCTATTGTTTATTATAATATACCAAACTCTTTTGAATGAATAGTATTGCTAAAAAGAAATACCCAGGTTATTGAAAACTAAAGAAATACGTAACAATTCAATTTATTGTGCAGAATAACAATATAGCAATTTACAATTCAATGGTTTCTCAATATTTAGTCAATAAATGCATGTAACTTAACTTAACTTTAAAAATAATATAATGTAATGACTGAACTCAGATTTCGAGTGCAACAATTAATGATAACCTTAGTCAAAAATTGTGAATAAACCCCTTGAAAGAGAAGTATATGGCGCGGTTACAAACCGACTCCGAACATGCCAACTGAGGTGTGATATTTTACTTTAATTTGAGATGACCAGTACTCGCAAATCCTTCGTCGGCCAACGACTTAAAAGATGAAGATTGTGTCTCGGAGTCCAACCTGGTTAAACAGTAGTTCTGTTTGAACGCAGTAAACGTGATGAAAGATTGCTTATTATTTTATAGCTAAAGAGTACTATGGCGGTTCATCTATCATGAAACACACGCACTACCCCAATTAACACTTCCATGTCTAGTCGAACCTGCAGCCTACCTCAACTTTAAGTATCATTTTATTTTCCCCAAATCAAAGCAATGGCTGTTACACTCTTAATTGATATTTACTGAAATATTAACAAATTTAAACAGCGATTCTACAAATAATTTTGTTGCGTTAAAATATTTTACAAGTTACTTTGAATATCCCTACAAAAACATGTTCACTTAATTTAATATAGAAGCATAAGATTACTACAGTCTACTATATAATACTAATTGATTTGCTAAAAGCGGACATAAAAATCCTTTGTGGGACTTAAACCTGAAGAAATGTCCTTTTATAACAAGAAATAACAAAACAAAATATAACATGAAATTTTACCACATGTGCGATTCACTGAAAAACTACAATTATAAGAATAAATAAAAATAACATAAATTACTTACAAATTTGGACGTCCAACACTGATATATACACTGGGATAGGTAGGGAAAACGTAATTGAGTTTACCAAAACACGATTGAATCAAAGAAATTAAAGATTTTATCGAAAACAATTGTATACTAAACCCAGACACAAGCAAATATCTGTACAACACCAACCCTTCCCCTCCCACCTTCAAACCTCTAATAAAAACCCACAAAGAAGGAAACCCAATTAGACCGGTCATTAATGCAATTCCAGCCCCATCATACAAAATATCAAAATATATCAACGCACTAATCAAAAACAACTTACCTAACACATCCACAGTATCATGCAAAAATAGTAAAGATTTCATTCAGAAGATTCAATCACAAAATATTCCTGAGAGATATACTTTGGCTTCCATTGATGTAAATAATATGTACGGAAACATTCCACGCAATGAAGCAATAGAAGTTCTGAAAAATAGACTAAAATCATCTAACAATTTTTTAGAAAATGAAATTAATGACATAATTAAAATAACTACCATAATAACTAAACAGAGCTACTTTTCATATAAGGGAAATATCTACTATGACCCCAAAGGTTTTCCCATTGGTGGACCTTTATCTGCCACATTAGCTGAATTATATATGCAGGAATTCGAAGAACAAAACGTCCTTCCTGATTCAAACCCGTTCTATAACAAAATAACCTTCTACGCAAGATATGTAGACGACGCATTCCTTGTAATGAACTGCAATAAACGACAATCTAATCTCTTTCTAAACCACATTAACAAAATTCACAACAACATCACATTCAAAATGGAAACAGAACAAAACCATCGTATAAATTTCCTTGATTTAACCATCACAAAAAACAGCACAGGAAAGGTAGCTATTGGAATATATAGGAAACACACCCAAACGGACCTCATAATACCTGCTGACTCCAACCATCCATACAATCAAAAAATGGCTGCCTTCCGTTCATCTATATATATATAAAAGGCAAAGCCCTCACTGACTGACTGACTGACTGACTCACTCACTCATCACTAATTCTCCCACTTCCCACTTACCTAGGAGGCTGAAATTTGGTACACTGATTCTTTAGGCATTAAATAGGAAAACTAAGTGGTTTTTATTCTGATCGGACTCTCGGGCTCCGCCCCAGTGGCTCTGGAGTTTCCCATGTTAACCTAATGAGTACTCATATTTAAATGGAATTAATGAATCATGACAGCTGTTTCAATTAAACAAGTTGGTTCTGTTCTATGATGTTCAATAGCATTAAAGTTACGAGGATTACCAAACAGAGTGCAGCACAATTATTTTTTTAATATTTGACAACAGCTAATTTGAAACCAAAAGGTGAGTGAGCGTAGCGAACGAACTTCACCCCTGAGGCGAGGTAGCGTAGCGAACGAGCTAACCTGAAGGCAAGTGAGCGCAGCGAACGAGCTCCAACCGTAAAGGTGAGTGAGCGTAGCGAACGAACTTCAACCAGGACGTGTGAGCGCAGCGAACGAGCTCCAACCTAAAGGTGAGTGAGCGTAGCGAACGAACTTCAACCATGACGTGATTGAGCCATGCGAACGAGCTCACGTATGAAGTTAAACGGGGCAAAGCCCGCGGGTACAGCTAGTTAGTCTATAGGCTATTAAACTACAACCTCAACGACCAGGAATATGCAAAAGAAATTAATATAATAAAAACAATAGCAAAAAACAATGGATACAACCCCACCATAATTGACCCCATTATAAACAAAATGAAAAAGAAAATAAAACACGGACCTGAAAACGAGACTACAGCCCAAAACCCCGAACCAAACCCAAAATATATATCAATCAAATACACTGGCAAAATATCAGAGAAAATTGGCAAAGTTTTCAAGAAATCTGGCTACACACCTGCATACCAAGTCAAAAACTGTCCCATACCACTATACGACATAGAAGCAAGTACAAAGGCCCGACCAATAGAAAAAGACAGAGGAGTGTACAAAATAACCTGCAATCCACCATGTAACAAACAATATATTGGCTACACGAATAGATCATTTTCCCAACGCTTCAAAGAACACAACACTAGTCACTACAAAAATCCAACCTCAATAGTAGCAAAACACCTCAAACAAAACCATACTCATTCAATAACATTCCCCGATTCCCTTACTATCCTGAACAGAACCCAGTCAAAAACCACAGCCAAAATACAGGAAAGCTACCAAATCTATAAACAAGTCACCGAATCTGGACCCGACAGCCTACTTAACATAAAAGAGGACTTCAATAACTCCATCATCTTTAAGACCATGTACGAAATAGAAACCAACCGATTTGGCAACCCCGCAGAAATTAGACAACGTCGCAGATACAACAATTCTGTGAATTCCACACCCCAACCCGTCCATCCACCAGACACTGTTTCTGTCAGTCTAACAACGATCCCGGCACAAGTAAACACCCCGCGCTCGCAACACACGCACGCCGCGCCGCGAGTGGAAACGCTACCATGTGAACTGGCACAGTGACTCTTGTATATATAAACTGTGTATATATTAGAATGTAAGTGTAGGATAGCGAACTCTGAAGATGCCACAACCTGTGGCGAAATGCGCATCAGGTATAAAAAACCAACAAGAACTTCAAGGCAAGAAAAACCAAAAAGGTAATTGAACAATAAAATGGTTGAAAAATTATCCTAAAAGTCTAGGGTGATTATTGCAATACAGTACTGCTTCAATGTTGCGGGTTGAGATTTAGGGGCTTTATGAATATCAAACCCTTTGGCAGCAGTGATACAGTACAGAAGTTTCATGTTGAAAGTTGAACGAGTAATGTTCAACATATAATTTTAAATAACTTTCACTCACTATTTGAAGAAAAAAAGTTATTACATGACTTTTTTAGTGATTGAACTGTGACTAATGAGGTTGAACTGATTCGTCATTTCAGGCGCTGTTCAGATCAGTAGCCATGATGGTACCAGACTACGCCCTTATCTCAGAGATACAGCTCTACTCCAATGGTTACCTCAATGCTCGGCCTTTAGCCGTCAAGATTGTCGCCACATACAAACTGTGTTCTGAGCAACTGTCTTCTCAGCAGCATTATGACTATGGTGAGTCCCTCTATTTCAATTGAAGAATATTTGTTTAAAGTACCTACTGTAGGTGAATGCTTTCTTGTTTATTTTGTGTAGTTTGAAATGTTTTAAATATGGAAGTATTATTAGGTTCAGCACAGTTAACCAGGTTCCTGTTTTTGAAGAGATAATGTGCTTTTTACAAACTTAACGTGCATTTAAATAGGATGAATAATTTCATAACTTTTAAGGAAAACTAATTACAAAACAAAGGATGTTCTGGACAATATTTATAAAAATATATGGTTTCTCCTTCCATGATTCAATGTCTCTGTCAGCTTATCAGATTCTTAGTGTCAAAAACTACCACTATAGCAGTTGTCTTCAACCCTTCTTTTTGCCTGCTATACAAGTATAGGGCCTAGATAGCTCTTGCTATACAATGGATAAGGTTTGGCTAACCCTAGTGTAAAGTCAAAACTGCTATTGCTGGCAACATGTTAGATATGCTATCTTCGAAATGATGCTTCTTAACTCTTGTTATTTTAGTGTTACAAAATAAAAAGTGTAATCAAAAGTCAAAAGTTTAATGTAACTTAAGGATTATGGATTTTTTTATCTTAAAAATAAGAAAACACCTATTCTGAGACCACATTATGTTGGCTAAACCAGGTAAACCAAACTGATGATGTTAATCTGAACTCTCAATACCATCATTTGTATTACTTAACTGAACTCACTTTACAAATTTACAGGTATGAGAGCTGTAAAGTCTGTGCTCACTGCTGCAGCTAATCTCAAGTTGAAGTATCCTAACGAGTCAGAAGACATCATTGTTCTCAGATCCATCAAAGATGTCAACCTGCCCAAGTTTCTCAATCATGACCTACCCCTGTTCCATGTAAGTAGCTCAGTCGTACTTTTGTTGTAGGTTTATTGGTATTTCATTTATGTAATAATATTAATATGTTGACTATATTTTTAAGTATTTTCACCATATTTGAAATAATTTTTTTAAATTTTGTCCTAATAAGTGAGGTGCGAGGTTAACATATTTAACAGCGTTGCTACCACTTGTAGAAAGTTATGATGGTGGCCATTGCTGCGGTCTTATTTTATCAATTTTAGTGCACAAGAAGTAGTAGCTATCTTCAAGGAGGACCTTTCTTTGTATGAAGCTCCACTGTATGAAGTGAACTTTGTTAAACCAATTTTGCACCAATGTTAGTAAATTCAACTCCTAAAAATTCAAGTTAGGACTTATCTTCTAATTCCATCCATTTGCTTGTTGTAGGGAATAACGTCAGATCTGTTCCCGGGAGTGACACTGCCAGACCCAGACTACACAGTGTTGAACAAAGCAGCTCAGGACGCGTGTGAGGCTGCCAACATGCAGTGTACGGACTTCTTCTTGGAGAAGATCCAGCAGATTTACGAGATGATGATTGTCAGACACGGCTTCATGATTGTTGGAATGCCCTTCGGTGGCAAGACGTCGTCCTATAGGATGCTGGCTGATGCTTTGGCACTCATCGAAGAAAGGGTACCGTATTTGTCTGTACTCTAAGACTTTATACCAGTGAAACTTATCTGGTTAACTTATATACTAACTGTTGTATGTTAGTTGTTAAAACTCAAACACGCCAACGTATTACATTTTATAGTGATTGCTGATCAACAAGGTTAACATAGCAAAACTATCGTGGTGTTAGTGTGGTATCCAACCATTTTCAGTTATTATAAATGTACAGACGTTATACAATTTTTGTTATTAAAAGTTATGTTGTAAATTTTTGACATCAGTTGTGTAATAGTTGAGTGAAAGCTAAAACTCGTTTGGAAAATGAATTGAAAATGGTTATAAAGATGAGATATCTTTCTGTTTGTCATATTGAGAAATGGTGATGCAAGAAAGTGTATCTAATTTAGGGATGGACGGGTCCCGAAATTTCGGGAATATTTCGGGAAAAAAATATTCCCGATTATCGGGACAGGATTACATTTGATTCGGGAATTTTTCGGGACGGGATTTGGTCCGATCGTCTGCGATTTTGCAGCTTCGCGATTGCCGATGACGTCGCTATTGCATTCGATAGGTCCGCGAACGCAGGAGACGAAATCATTTCGACAATCGCGCCGTGACCGCGGAGTCCTACCGACGATCGCGCCGTGACCGCGAGTCATACCGACGATCGCGCTGTGACTGCGGAGTCATACCGACGATCACCCCGTGACCGCAGAGTCATACCGGCGATCACCCCGTGACCGCGAGGCATACCGGCGATCACCCCGTGACCGCGAGTCATACCTACGATCACCCCGTGACCGCGGAGTCATACCGGCGATTACCCCGTGACCGCGGAGTCATACCGGCGATCACCCCGGGACCTACCGGCGATTGCGCCGTGACCGCGGAGTCCTACTGACGATCGCGCCGTGACCGCGGAGTCATACCGACGATCATGACGTGACCGTGGAGTCCTACCGACGATCGCGCCGTGACCGCGGAGTCATGCCGACAATCGCGCCGTGACCGTGAGTCATACTGACGATCATGCCGTGACCGCGAGTCATACCGACGATCATCCCGTGACCGCGAGTCATACCGACGATCACCCCGTGACCGCGGTTCATTTTGACGATCGCACCATGGGCGTGAGTCACAAGTTTCTATGGGTACCTTTATATTGTTACCCATTTTTTTGGTTTTTATAGATCAGTGCCACAAACGGTAAAAATTGATTTTGTATGTCTTTTTTTGGTAACTGCAATACTCAAGACTTTCTTTTTATGCACAGAAAAAATCCCGTCCCGTCCCGAACTAAAAGTTCAATCCCGTCCATCCCTATTCTAATTATTTAACCCAGGAAATGGAAATAGTTACTTTAGAATTAGTTAGATAGGACCTACCTTATGTAGCCTTTAACTGACTAAAACGGATTAAAAGGCTAATAACAGATCATTGTGGGACGAGAGGTAGTAGTAGATCAAAGACCTTTTTTAGACTTCTAGTCCTTACTGAGAATAATGATCAACCACAACAAGAACAAAGACTACAGCATCTACTGCAAAAGTTAATGTTTGATGTGTTTATTTATGTATTTTCATCTAATTTTGTCAGTAAGTTAAGAAACCTATCCACCATAAAATCCTTAAGTACATAGTAATTTTGCGCACCATGTTTTCTAAATGATTCTAACTGAAGTTTCAAATCAATTATCACTTTATGTAAGCCTAATATTAACACTGTTGTCATTATACCAATTATCTTAACAATCTAGTAGTTGGGACAGTACAGGGTGTTTTTAAAAGAATGCCGGGGTTTTAAACCTCGGAATCGTTGCTCAGGGACTATTCAAGATAATTAAACAATTTAACGTCAAATTGAAGGGAAAAGAACAAAGTTTTTTTCTAATTCTTTGATACAATTTGGAATGATTTAATAAAATTCAGATTTTCATCAATCTTATATGAGCGTAAAACTGGCAAAGTCTGTACGCTTAGGGCGATCGGCGGGTTTATCTGATGTTCTAACTGAATCTTTTTAGGCACAAAGACTCTATATTTTACATATAACATCATTAAGTGACCAATTTTGGTTTGTTCTACTGAATACTTCATCAGGTAATATATTTTTCAGGCTTCTGATTCAGAATTGTCGGATTTCTTCGACTATAAGTCATTGCTTGCCACCATGGTGCCACAAAACTCATTAAACCAGCTTCAAGTTTCTTTATCATCAAGTAGATTTAAATTTAGTTTAATTTAGCAATGGAGATAAACTCTGCGAACCACAGATTACAATATTTGCCTTCTGTTGTGCCTTAAACGTCGTACTGGCGACTGGTCAAGCGTACGAGTCGCAACAGTGGAATAGCACCGCGCACCTGTTTTACGCATGCCAAGATAAAAGTTTCCTCCCTTGCTACGGGGTAAACAAAACTTAGTTATTTAAGCTTCAATTTGACGTATAAGACGTTTAGTTACCTTGAATAGTACCCAAGCAAATTATCATTTAAAATCCCGCCATTCTTTTAAAAACACCCTGTATAACATATTTGTCCACTAGGGTGGTATGAATGAGCACAAGGTAGAGATTGCAGTCATGAACCCCAAGTCAATCACGATGGGTCAGCTCTACGGACAGTTTGACCCGGTCTCCCACGAGTGGTCTGATGGGATACTGGCTGTCAGCTATCGTCAGTTTGCCATGTCAACCAACCTGAACAGGTATATCTGATTGTTTCATTGAGTTTACTGTTTTTTTAACATCACATCAAAAATTTTTGATTTCAAATTTCAAAAATGTTTTGAAATTCTTAAATCACTACAAGCATTTTTGTTGATGCATTTCTGATTACATTTTGTGTACTACCCAATTTCCTCGACAGAAATATTGAATTAAATTGATGAATTTCAACTTTTGATTGGTTGATTTGAGAGTGGCATCACTCACTACTGTCAATCCCCACTAATTTTTCTTTCCTTGTGAAGTATTCTACCCCATAGAATGTTTAACAAGAAGCATGCCCTCTTGACAATTCTCCCATAAATATACCTCCTAATTAAAAATTAAAACTGGCGCAAAAATGTGAGTTTTTCTATATGCTATAGCTTTTTTGGCATTCGACACCAACCAATTATAAAAAACAAGTTCTGCAATGGATAATGGATGTATACTTCTTAAAGATTACAAGATTAGGGTTGTACAAACAATGCTTATGTTTTATATTGTTTACCCAGGAAATGGCTGATATTCGATGGTCCAGTGGATGCAATCTGGATAGAGAACATGAACACAGTTTTGGATGACAACAAGAAGTTGTGTTTGATGTCAGGAGAGATCATACAGCTGGCTCCAACAACCAACTTGATATTTGAACCCATGGATCTAGAGGCTGCCTCTCCAGCTACGGTGAGTGTCTGACCAATGGTATTGTCAAATCCTTATATATAATACGTGAAGGCGATTTCTTCGAAACACTACTCCTCCGTTAGTAATGGACGGATTTTTACAAACGATGTGTCAAAATTAAGTATTTTTTGTGTATACGCCCCCTTTCACCAATTCATGTAATAAAAATCCTCGGGCTTTGCCCCACAGGCCATCGAAATCCCAATGTATTTCTTATAATGAAAAGATTTTGTTTACTTAAACAGACAAATTATTTGTATTAATTACAGCTGTTTGTAGTAAAGAAAGACAAATGATACACACAAGAGCATTCGTTTTCAGTTTCCATAACTGGAGTGGACTGAGCATTCGATTTCAGAGTGGGTTCGTTTCCAGTTTCGATAACTGGAGTAAAGTGATTGATAACATTATCTTTGAGTTGATTCTTTTAAGTCATCGGAAATTGTGACTGTCATTTGTTTTAAAATATATATACACCTGCAATACTTTGCAATTGCTCGAATTCGAGCAACAGGTACACTAGTAGCTCTGTAATGGCTGTTGATGTGGAGATGTGTTTCGTTATGAACATAACCAATATACGAGAGATGATATGCAAACAGTAGCAGATATCAATCCTACTGTATTCATATTTGTTTGGAAACACAAGTATAACGCTCTAATAGGATCCCAGTGAAACACAAACATTTTATAGGCATCTTAATTGGTACCCCCCAAAAAAAATTAAAAACTGATGGCATATCACCAAAACAACTTCCTTGCATTTTTATACTGATTACAGTTATGTTCCAAGTTCTGACACAAGAAAAGATACCCTTCACAATACTACATGGGTTGTGTTGTGGGTCAATTAGTATCGTGATTGAGCTTATATTGGCCAAGTGCGTTAGTTAAAATCTAAAACCAGGGATGTGTTCATTATTATTTTTCCTACTATTTTAGCTGGATTCCACCCTTAAGTGATAATTAATAGGGTTTGACCTCCTTCCCACAGAAACCTAATTTAAGAACAAAGGGAGTATTCAGATTTTGCCTCATTTTGTGTTTTACTGGACTTTGACAAGATTAATCAGTGCATAGACAAAAAAATTGGCAAGAATAGTGATGAATGAAGCACAGAACACAGTGTTGGTCCAAATTTCAACTAGCTTGCTTGGCCTCAGTTGGATTTTGAAGCAGATTTTGAAAATCAGCCCTTGTGTCCATGAGGATAAACTATTATTATTCATAAAAGATGTTGCCAACTAACTTTGTGTGTGTAGGTGTCCAGATGTGGTATGATTTACATGGAGCCAGCTACTCTAGGCTGGGAGTGTCTCTTACAGTCTTGGCTCAACACACTTCCACCATGTCTCCACGCTCAGAACAAACAAGTCATTGTGCATCTCTTCCATAGGTTCTGCCCTGTCTTGTTCTACCTTCTGCGGCGCACCAAAGTTGTGGTATGTATTTTTTTGCTATTTTCATTATCTATCAGTATGGGGTATAATTTTTATTTTACTAACATTTTTAATAAAATTTTATGCTTTTGTTTTCCTCCAAATTTCAAAGGGACCTCAAGTACTTGCTTTTAGAATTTAACCAGCCAACTATGTATTTTCCATTCTAAGCTCTTGAGTTTTATCATTGAAGTAAGACTCCTTTACAGCTTGTGACTCGGAAGCTGGCACTTGGGCCTAGCGCGGGCACTATATGCAGGGTGTGGGTGGATGTAAGGAAAACACCGGACTGCAAACCTTTCTTCTGTTTCAGGGTTTACTCCCTGTGATTCACGTACTGAGCACCTTCAGGAGGATCGCATGGACAGTTGACACAACCCGCAAGACGGCACATGATATTTTTGAACTAGATGCTAGTACTGATCGGTCAGGGGCCAGCTTACGTGTCGCGAGCTGTACATGTGCAATTTTAATTTTAAATACTATACTTTTAAAAAATTTACTACCATTTTATTATTTGTTTATTGTTAATCAAGGCAGGATGTTTTATGTCTTACTTGTATGTCAACTCTATGTTTTTTTTATATGTATCGACCTTATTAAGAAAAATCTAGCACTTTTATGACACTTTCAATACTAATCTAAGCTATTTTCTTTTTTAGGAAATATTTCCAACTTCTGATTCAAACCTCATAAGATCTTTGACAAATTTATTTGACTGTTTTCTGAATGACTTCTACGATGAAGAATTTGTCAAGAATATCTCCGATTTAGATACAAGGGCACAGTTGGAGGTGAGTTTAACTGTTTTGATGCATTCTTGGCTGAGAATACCTAAATAATTCTTTTTAGTGATTTTCCTTTAAATTTGTTTATTGTAAAATGTTTCCTCAAATTTAGTTTTTTATAGTTACAATGGTATTTAAACTATTTATTTTTTTTATTTTTGATGAGTTATTTTTTTACTTGTTCTTAGTGTATTTGTGTATTTATATAGGTTATTTACCTTTTTCCAGGGTGTGTTTTTCTTCTCGTGTATCTGGTCCATTGGAGCGTGTTTGAACTCCGCTGGCCGGGAACAGTTCAGTGTTCTGTTCCAAGGATTGTTGCTGAAGGAGTTTCCAGCTCACCTGAAGGAACAATTTGGTCTACCAGATCATCTCATCATGCCTCCTTTAAAACCCTACATTTATACAATTCCTGAACAAGCGACAGTATTTGACTACAGGTTCATAAAAGAAGTGAGTATGCTTGCCTGGTTTATGTTAAATGTTGTTAAATTTGTGAGTGGTTTGAATACTTGTCCCATTTTTGTTGTCCCACCTTCATAATATTTTGTGTCCCAACTTCATATTCTAGAACAATAGGTTCTAGCGCAAATCTGTTTTCACATTACTTCAGACTAAGCCCAGAGGGTTGACAGCATTATCATTATCAAATATGTATAATCCGTTAGAGATTTGTGGGATATAAACCCAGGACCTCAGGGTCTGGAGACCCACGCTCTACCACTAGACCAGCTCGCTCCCAAACTCCTTTATTATTGATAATGTATTCTGTTAAATTTCAATACAAACTTTTTAAAAATCAGGAGGGTTACTCATCAACACTTATTATATTTCATTGAATGAATCGGTTGCTCAGGTTGTTTGGCAGCAATGTAGGAGGTTTGACTTATGGTTTGACTTATTAGGTATTCAGTTGTGACTTTTGCCATTTAAATTTACCAGTACATTTCACTCCTGTACTATACCAGCTCACTCCTTGCTTTGCTGGATACATCCAAGGCACAGATTCAAGGACTATGTCGATGGACAAATGTTAGGTAAAAAAGGCCACCACACTCTTTAAAAATAAACTTGATGTGTTTCTTGGTGTTGTAGGGTAAAGGCAAGTGGAAGCTGTGGTCAGAGGACTTAACATCTGCATCACCCATCCCTAGAGACATCCCTGTCAACCAGATAATTGTTCCCACCGTAGAAACAGTCCGAAATATGGCTTTGATGCATCTCCTCGTGATGCATCAAAAACCTGTCATGTTTGTTGGATCTACCGGCACCGGAAAGTCTGCTTATACAATGGTAAATAGATTTTGAGCTAGGCTACGTTCGCTTTATTGTAAATTTGTATGTGATAGTGAATTAATAGTTAGTATAGTAATAGTAGTAGATAGTTGTGGAGTAGCTAGTTAATGATAAGCTAGTAAATCCATCAAGATTTTCTCAAAGAGCCCGGCAGCAGGTGCTCATCAGTTTCTAAGAAAACAGTAATTGAATTTAAAGAAACTTTTCTCACCGGTTCCGGTCGGTGTGTTTCAGATAGTCCTAAAGGGATCTCGCCTGTTAGTTCAACAATCTCACTCATTCAGACACATTGGGATCTGAATGAAAATTAATTCCCCTAGCTTAGGCTTCAAAAGAGAGGAATGGCAGCAGTCAGCCTACACCGTGTAAAACATGGTGCAAATATTACCACTTTATACTCCTTCCATCCCTTGCGCACATTTTCTGAGACCCCAAAAATGTAATCACAGATTGCAATAGATACTTGGCGGGAGTGTTAATTTTCTTTCACAACATTTTCAAATGCTATGAAAAGACTAATTGTATTTTGGGAGGGAAGGGGGAACCGGCTAACAGTGTTGGGGAAGCTACTTTTAAAATGTAGCTAGCTACAACTACTGCTACATTTCCAAAAAAGTAGCTTAGCTACAGCTACAGCTACAGTTCCGAAAAAGTAGCTAGCTACAACTACAGCTACAATGAAATGTAGCTACAGCTACAATTTTAGCTGCTTTTCCAAAGACGTTACTTTTTATTCCACGCACATTAGGTAAATGTAAAATTAATTGCAATAACATTTTTATTGAACAAACATTTAAACAAGAAATGTCAGTATTGTATCTAACATTACTTGGAAAACAAATTATTCCTAGATTTGATTTAATTTGTTGGCATTATAAACCTAACATTACAACAACAGCATCAAATAATTGGGTGTCCCATCATATTTAGTACTTATTTTTAAATATTGCATTATTTTTAAGCATCTTATATGTAAATTTCATTAAGTTTAAAGGACATACAACCAAACTATATTTTAAAAGCTCATTTTATTTCTTTAATATAGATTTATTTATAGATGTCTTATATCAACAATTAAGACCACTTAAACTGTAAAACGATTATTTAAAAATACTTTTTTGTGTTACAGAGCCTAGCCTATTGAAATTGGAGTTTATTACCTCCCTTTACTTTTAATGTTAAAAACGACATTGCTATAACTTTTAACCATAGTGATAAGTTACTTGTTCTCTATGAATAACACTTTTCAATGTCAAGAAATCGTCCTTTATTGTCATTATGCATAGGGCAAGTGCTTCAACCTAGTTGGTACAGAAAACAGTATTCAGCAACTTATCCTGAAATCGGCTTTTAATTTAAACATGTTGAAATTTGTAAAGTAAAAATAACATGTAGGCCTACTTGGCTATGTAACAAGTTGGCTATAGTAGCTTTGTTCTTGCAAGGACTAAACAGATATATTCCTAATAATTGAACTTGGTATTCGTTTTAAGCCCTAGCATAGCCTAGGAATAGTCCAATACAAGAGCTGTTAGCAGGAGCAAACTATTCTATTTTTTAAATGTAAGTTTCATGTTATATGGAGATTTTTTCGTTACAATTATCATGTAGTCTAGGCATATCTTAAATCTCATCAGGTAATTTCCTCTTTGTTAATTTAGTAAACCTTAGAAAAATCTTTGTAATCTAACCAAGGAAGGGCTTGTGATGATGAACCACAATCAACAGCTGAAGCAAAGGTTGGTAGACCAGCTTTCACATTATTTTAAGGTTGTTGGTTTTCATTAAAACCCTAGTTAAAACACTATCGATATAACAAAGAAACTAAATTGATTACTAATTTCCCTGTCAATCACTTGCAAGCGTTCAATAGCTTGTATTGTCACTGGTACCGGTAACGTTTAAACGTCGTCTGCATGTAGCGATTTTATTTTATCTGACAGTAATCATAGAGTAGTAAATTAAGGAAATGAGAGCTAAAAATGTGGATAACACTAATTTAATGGTCTCCATGTCCACACAACGTTGTAATAGGGAATGACACGGCTGCAACCAGCTGTATGAAGCCAAGAAAGTAGGCCTAATTGTTTTGAAAATCTCAGTCTCAGTTTGAAAGATGTTGTTTCACGTAAGGTTGAGGTTATGGTAAAAATCACTATCTCAAACAATGTAAATGTAGTGAGAAAAGTAGCTAAAATTCCGCTACAACTACTTTAAAAATGTAGCTAGCTACAGCTAAAGCTACAAAATTTTAAAAGTAGCGACGCTACAGCTAACGCTACAAAAAAAGTAGCGCGCTACTGTAGCGTCGCTACTTGTAGCGCGCTACTTCCCAACACTGCCGGCTAAAATAGTAGAGGATCAGGACAAGGATTTACAATTGGCCTCAGATGAGAACTACTAGCTTGCTTGCCGCCACGGAAGCCCAATGGAGACCTCTTGATTTCTGAACAACCCTCATACTAATGCCATAACAATGTGTTTCAGGACTATCTGTTGAAGAAGATTGATAGTAACATTTACAAGCCAATGTTTATCAACTTTTCTGCTCAAACCTCTGCAAACCAAACCCAAGACATAATCATGGCCAAGTTAGATAAACGGAGGAAAGGTATAGTATCATGTTTCTATTAGAGGGAAATAGTTATTTACAATTTTATGTCAATTTCTGTTTTTCTTTTACCTCTCATTACCTCGTTTTTCCAGGTGTCTACGGCCCGCCACTAGGCAAGAAGTGTGTGGTGTTTGTGGACGATGTCAGCATGCCAATGAAGGAGACTTACGGAGCTCAGCCTCCTATAGAACTGTTGAGGCAATGGCTCGACCATCAGATATGGTACGACCGCAAGGAGGTGGTCGCCATGAAACTCATTGACATACAGGTGAGGGAAACTGTCAATACACAATGTACCTTGTATATTTCTTTTTTAGTTTAGTATATGTTGTTGGTGAGTCGGTGGCTTAGTTGGTACTAGTGGTTGGTACTGGTCTGTGAAACAATGGTGTGGATTCAAATCTGGGGCCACCACTTATAATTTGTCAGTACAGTTTAACTGTAGTGGATACGTGACAGGCCTGAGGCCCATGAAGAAGGTTCAAGGTTAAAAAAGGTTGCCACTCACTGAACAAGGATGGTAGGAATACAAAAAAATATCTAAACTTATTTGGTGTGATAGCAGTCTGGATACCACAGCTTTAGATAGTCCAAAAAACCATTAGCAGGAAATGAGAGCCTTTTAGTTGCTTAAAACTGTGTGTACTGTAACATGGCATAGACTGCAGACAAACAGAACTAATTAGCACAAAACATCTGTTTTGTGATTTACCTCAATATTTAAAGGGGTCTTCAAAGTACGACGGTTGGTGGCTTAAAATTATGACTTGAAGACAAAAATCAAATTTTCTTTCTAGAGAGAAGACATAGTTTTTGTGTAAGTTTGTTGATGATGTGTTGCAGCTCATGTGTGCGATGGGTCCTCCCAGTTCAGGCAACACAGTCACTCCTCGGTTCAGTAGACATTTCAACATTGTGGTCATCAATGAGTTCACCGATGAAGTCATGGTGACCATCTTTAGTAAGATCATGCTGTGGCATCTGGACACTAGGTAAATGGAAACCGTTGTGCGAAAAGAAATACACACAGTTGAATTTTTTAGATATTGAAAATAAAGTAGTTGGAAAGTGATAGATTTTGATAACCATAATGATAAAATGTGCCTTATTTGTACTGTGTAGCATTGTATACTATCTTAGATAGAAGGCACCAAGCTCCCAACACCTTTGTGGTTTAAAACTCTTTATTTTAGAAAAGATTCTATAGCTATTTCATGAAAATTAATAAGTTGATTTAGTTTGATTCAATTGGATATCTCGTTGAATTGTGTGGTTAAAATAAAAAAATTACAACTAAATTAGGTTAAATTAATTTTTAACAGTACAATGACAAAAATGAAATGATAAAGTCTTGCATTGGGACTTTTCATGACTGAACCATCAAAACCAATACTATGATTTGAATACAAGCCCAATAACTTGATGACTACTCAGTCAATTATTAAATTTAGTTTTTTATCTTCATAAACTATATTATCAGTGGGGAAAGGATATAATTATTCATGCAAAACTTCTGGAAAATGATATGTGAATGGCTCCTGTACTAATTACAATGACAGAAACGTCTATTGTTTTACATATTTCTGACAGTTATGTTTGTTGTACAGAGGGTTCAGTAAGGAGTTTGACCCTTGTATTGACCAGCTGGTGTCAGCCACACTACTCATCTACAAGCAGAGTCTGGCCAACCTGCTGCCCACACCAGCCAAGTCTCACTACTTGTTCAATCTACGTGACTTTTCCCGCGTCATTCAGGTGTGTAAACTGTACAACCTACATAAATGAGATAAAACTAATTATAAACTTAACCTTAACTTTTCCAGGTCTAAATGTCATGAAATACACTGTTTTGCGTAAAAGACACTTAATATGTTTAAACACAATTTAGCATACCCATAATTATCTCGATGAAAAAATTCATTTGGAAATTTTATCGAAGACAACGCAAACAAATTTAACACATTTGTTAAATGCTAGCGTGCTAACCTGTTTTAATGATTAGATAAAGAAAGATTATTAAGGAAAACTAAAGAAAATAAAGCCTTAGAAAAATAAAACTAAATTTACTATACTATGTGACATTTATTTATGTATTATCTTTTGACAGAACAAATATTTGTTGCCTTGTTATTTTGTTATTGCTTGTTAAGTTTGACGATGTCTATTACAATATGTGTATATTTTTGAAGGAATAAAGAATTTGTCTATTGTCTATGCGTTATGCATGTTGTATTTTATTTGATCATGTTCAATTTTTCTTTTCATCGCAATAATCACAACAAAGTCTAAGGCAACAGCACCAGTAATTGGAAAATTATAAAATTATGTATAAATGGAATTGTGAAACAGTGATCTAGAAGGTAGGCTAACATGGTTAATGCAGATTAAATCTTAGGAGATGACTGAGTCATTGAACTGGCAAAAATATTGGCCTATACCTAGGATGTGGAATGTTCAGCCTGTTTTGAACATTGATTGCGGCAACCCGTTATAAATTTGGGTTCAGTATTTTGGTCATTCATCTGTGATGTTTGTGCCTGTCAGTTATTATTGTTTGACTATACAGGGAGTGTTGCTGTCAGTACCTGAGGCTATGGAGGATCTGCTGGCCATGAAGAGACTCTGGGTGCACGAGGTGTTGAGAGTCTACCATGACAGACTGGTAGATGACAAGGACAGAGATTGGTCAGTCATTTCTGCTATGTTTGTGCCTGTCAGTTATTATTGTTTGACTGTGCAGGGAGTGTTGCTGTCAGTACCTGAGGCTATGGAGGATCTGCTGGCCATGAAGAGACTCTGGGTGCACGAGGTGTTGAGAGTCTACCATGACAGACTGGTGGATGACAAGGACAGAGATTGGTCAGTCATTTCTGCTATGTTTGTGTCTGTCAGTTATTATTGTTTGACTGTACAGGGAGTGTTGCTGTCAGTACCTGAGGCTATGGAGGATCTGCTGGCCATGAAGAGACTCTGGGTGCACGAGGTGTTGAGAGTCTACCATGACAGACTGGTAGATGACAAGGACAGAGATTGGTCAGTCATTTCTGCTATGTTTGTGCCTGTCAGTTATTATTGTTTGACTGTACAGGGAGTGTTGCTGTCAGTACCTGAGGCTATGGAGGATCTGCTGGCCATGAAGAGACTCTGGGTGCACGAGGTGTTGAGAGTCTACCATGACAGACTGGTAGATGACAAGGACTGAGATTGGACAGTCATTTCTGCTATGTTTGTGTCTGTCAGTTATTATGGTTTGACTGTACAGGGAGTGTTGCTGTCAGTACCTGAGGCTATGGAGGATCTGCTGGCCATGAAGAGACTCTGGGTGCACGAGGTGTTGAGAGTCTACCATGACAGACTGGTAGATGACAAGGACAGAGATTGATCAGTCATTTCTGCTATGTTTGTGTCTGTCAGTTATTATTGTTTGACTGTACAGGGAGTGTTGCTGTCAGTACCTGAGGCTATGGAGGATCTGCTGGCCATGAAGAGACTCTGGGTGCACGAGGTGTTGAGAGTCTACCATGACAGACTGGTAGATGACAAGGACAGAGATTGATCAGTCATTTCTGCTATGTTTGTGTCTGTCAGTTATTATTGTTTGACTGTACAGGGAGTGTTGCTGTCAGTACCTGAGGCTATGGAGGATCTGCTGGCCATGAAGAGACTCTGGGTGCACGAGGTGTTTAGAGTCTACCATGACAGACTGGTAGATGACAAGGACAGAGATTGGACAGTCATTTCTGCTATGTTTGTGTCTGTCAGTTATTATTGTTTGACTGTACAGGGAGTGTTGCTGTCAGTACCTGAGGCTATGGAGGATCTGCTGGCCATGAAGAGACTCTGGGTGCACGAGGTGTTGAGAGTCTACCATGACAGACTGGTAGATGACATGGACTGAGATTGGACAGTCATTTCTGCTATGTTTGTGTCTGTCAGTTATTATGGTTTGACTGTACAGGGAGTGTTGCTGTCAGTACCTGAGGCTATGGAGGATCTGCTGGCCATGAAGAGACTCTGGGTGCACGAGGTGTTGAGAGTCTACCATGACAGACTGGTAGATGACATGGACTGAGATTGGACAGTCATTTCTGCTATGTTTGTGTCTGTCAGTTATTATGGTTTGACTGTACAGGGAGTGTTGCTGTCAGTACCTGAGGCTATGGAGGATCTGCTGGCCATGAAGAGACTCTGGGTGCACGAGGTGTTGAGAGTCTACCATGACAGACTGGTAGATGACATGGACTGAGATTGGACAGTCATTTCTGCTATGTTTGTGTCTGTCAGTTATTATTGTTTGACTGTACAGGGAGTGTTGCTGTCAGTACCTGAGGCTATGGAGGATCTGCTGGCCATGAAGAGACTCTGGGTGCACGAGGTGTTGAGAGTCTACCATGACAGACTGGTAGATGACAAGGACAGAGATTGGTCAGTCATTTCTGCTATGTTTGTGCCTGTCAGTTATTATTGTTTGACTGTGCAGGGAGTGTTGCTGTCAGTACCTGAGGCTATGGAGGATCTGCTGGCCATGAAGAGACTCTGGGTGCACGAGGTGTTGAGAGTCTACCATGACAGACTGGTAGATGACAAGGACAGAGATTGGTCAGTCATTTCTGCTATGTTTGTGTCTGTCAGTTATTATTGTTTGACTGTACAGGGAGTGTTGCTGTCAGTACCTGAGGCTATGGAGGATCTGCTGGCCATGAAGAGACTCTGGGTGCACGAGGTGTTGAGAGTCTACCATGACAGACTGGTAGATGACATGGACTGAGATTGGACAGTCATTTCTGCTATGTTTGTGTCTGTCAGTTATTATTGTTTGACTGTACAGGGAGTGTTGCTGTCAGTACCTGAGGCTATGGAGGATCTGCTGGCCATGAAGAGACTCTGGGTGCATGAGGTGTTGAGAGTCTACCATGACAGACTGGTAGATGACATGGACTGAGATTGGACAGTCATTTCTGCTATGTTTGTGTCTGTCAGTTATTATGGTTTGACTGTACAGGGAGTGTTGCTGTCAGTACCTGAGGCTATGGAGGATCTGCTGGCCATGAAGAGACTCTGGGTGCACGAGGTGTTGAGAGTCTACCATGACAGACTGGTAGATGACATGGACTGAGATTGGACAGTCATTTCTGCTATGTTTGTGTCTGTCAGTTATTATGGTTTGACTGTACAGGGAGTGTTGCTGTCAGTACCTGAGGCTATGGAGGATCTGCTGGCCATGAAGAGACTCTGGGTGCACGAGGTGTTGAGAGTCTACCATGACAGACTGGTAGATGACATGGACTGAGATTGGACAGTCATTTCTTTTATGTTTGTGTCTGTCAGTTATTATTGTTTGACTGTACAGGGAGTGTTGCTGTCAGTACCTGAGGCTATGGAGGATCTGCTGGCCATGAAGAGACTCTGGGTGCACGAGGTGTTGAGAGTCTACCATGACAGACTGGTAGATGACATGGACTGAGATTGGACAGTCATTTCTGCTATGTTTGTGTCTGTCAGTTATTATGGTTTGACTGTACAGGGAGTGTTGCTGTCAGTACCTGAGGCTATGGAGGATCTGCTGGCCATGAAGAGACTCTGGGTGCACGAGGTGTTGAGAGTCTACCATGACAGACTGGTAGATGACATGGACTGAGATTGGACAGTCATTTCTGCTATGTTTGTGTCTGTCAGTTATTATGGTTTGACTGTACAGGGAGTGTTGCTGTCAGTACCTGAGGCTATGGAGGATCTGCTGGCCATGAAGAGACTCTGGGTACACGAGGTGTTGAGAGTCTACCATGACAGACTGGTAGATGACAAGGACCGGGAGTGGATATTTGACTTGCTGCATCAAGTTGTGGCTTCCAACCTAGAGGAGGACCTGGACCAGATGTTTACTCACCTGGTGAAAGACAAACCTCCCGGGAGCCGGGTATGATTGTTTGTGTTTTTCTGCGTCATTGGAATTTTTACGTTTTTAAGAAGGGGACAGTCCAAACCCTAGTCTTGTTCTTTAATTTTGAAATTTTGATACACAGCACCATTAATTAAATGACAAATTGCATATGGGCCCATTGAACAAATCTTGCCACAATCAAGATGGTTGAGTACAGTGCAGTGTGGTGGGTGATTAAAGATAATCTGTAGTGATCATTGATGAAAAGGCTTAAGGTTTTTAGCTAGGATTGATTGATATGAATTGCTAATTATTCTTTATTCAATTTATTTACTGATTTCACTAGTGTCATGAATCGAAAACTCCAGATGTCGTAATTTTCTACAGTTACATGCATGTCGGAAACAACATAGTACATCAAGATTTATCATCTGCATTGATTCAACAATTCTGTTGAAATTACAGGTAGGGGAGACTGAACTACGCAGACTGTTGTATTGTGACTTTGCCAACCCCAAGGCCGATGTCAGGAACTACATAGAAGTCACAGATTTAGATGCTCTACGAAATATTGTGGAAGGTTTCCTCAACGAGTTTAACAACATGAGTAAGAAACCAATGAACCTCGTCTTGTTTAGGCAAGTGTTCATTTGATTAGGCTTATACCTAAATCAGATTTAAAAAAAATTAGATTAATTACTTTGTATGATAATTATTTTGCTTTTGGTTTTTCCAAAATTAATTCTTGTAAGTAGTATAAAACAAGCAAATTCTCTCAAAACGTATTGCAAATATTAAGATTTGTATGATCCGGATTTGTTAGAGATACATCAATTTTTTGACTGTAGGAAACTGACTAGTCAACTAATTTAAGTGTGAAGCTAAATATCTTAGAAAATTGTTTTCAAATCCTGCCTTTAAGCTTTATGATCGAGTGAGTCTCCATAAATAAGGAGAATGTTCTTTATATTAGAGAACACTTTGAGATAAGAGCGATACAACGTTCATCTTCATATAAAGGTTCCCATGGTCACACATGTTAAAGATGTGGTGGTCCTGAAGCAATAACAGTGTTAAAACAGATGATCATCAACTTTTACCATTGTTCTGGCCTGGATACAATTAAAGACTTTGATTCTATTTGATACCTATAATTATAATATAAACTTTTCCTATAAATCTACTATCCCATTACTAGGAAATGTTTACATAACTTTTTACTTTTCGCCTGCAGGTTTGCTATTGAACACTTGTCTAGAATCTGCCGCATTCTCAAGCAGCCCAGAAGCCATGCATTGTTGGTTGGAGTAGGTGGAAGTGGACGACAGTCACTCACTCGTCTAGCTGCTCACATCTGCGAGTATGACCTCTTCCAGGTAAACAAGGAATCTTAGTTCTACCAACAGCAACAATATATCAATGTGTGAAACATCAATGTAAAGAAGAAATATATTGCAACAAAAACTATTAGTTATAAAGTCAATGTATGCAAATGTTTATTTACATCTTTATAAATACACATAATATATTTTTTGTAGATATTATAGCTAAACCTTGTATATATTATTATATTTCTATTTAACCTACCATTTTTCTATTTAGGTAGAGATGGGCAGACAGTACGGAATGTATGAGTGGCATGAAGACTTGAAGAACATCTTACTGAAGGCCAGTGCTAGTGACCAACACGTGGTGTTCTTGTTTACAGATTCGCAGGTAAATCACCAACTCACTGTTTAAGATTTAGACTCAGCTGAGGTGTATTTGGATCCAAATAAGAGTAACAAATACTTGGCCTTTTGTGCAAGGTAGTACCATTGAGAATACATGTATTAGAGTAGACACTATTGTTACCTGAACAGCGCTGTTGCAAAGAAGCGTTAGCGGCCAGAAATACACCACCTCATGTCTGTTGGTAACGCAGTTTAGATGTTTTTTAATATTGCGTTTGCTGAAGGTTTTTAAAATTTGTTTAATTTTGAAATTTTGTTAAGTTGATGAAGTTTGTTTCTTTGGTCATAATTTTGAGGTTTTATAATGCTATGTGTCCCCTCTAATTGTATATACTCAATGGCAGTACCGAACAAAATATTAATTCAAAGTATTGCCTTCATTCTAAAAAAAAACACACTGTGAACATGTTGAGTGTATTTCATTGTAATTCTAGCTGTTAAGGAAAGTGTGTGAAATCAACAATTTTCCTTTACTTTACAAAAATAAAATTGTTTGTGTTTGTTTTGAGTTTCTGAAAGTAATCAACATGTATTTACAGATCAAAGAGGAGGCTTTTGTTGAAGACATCAACAACATGCTCAACTCTGGGGAGGTTCCCAACTTGTTTGGGATTGATGAGAAAGCAGAAATTTGCGAAAAGATGAGAACCATCGACAGACAGAAAGACAAATCTCAGCAGGTCTGTTTAAGAAATATACATGATGTATATATACTTGAAAAATTCTACATAGAATGATGTTTCATTACCATTATAACTGCTTATTTCTGTATCCTTTTGCAGACTGATGGAAGTCCTGTAGCTTTATTCAACTTGTTTCTACAAATTGTCAAGGATCAGTTACATGTGGTTCTAGCATTCAGCCCAATCGGAGATGGTTTTAGAACACGAATTCGTAAATTTCCAGCTTTGGTGAATTGCTGCACAATCAATTGGTTTCAGGTAAGCATTTATGTCGTAAACTAGCTGTATAATGTCCATAATACAAACTAGGTGAAGTAATTCTATCAAACAAAAGTTTGTACATATTATCATTTTTGGTATTATTGTGTGAATTTGGAATTATTGTCATTATAGGTATTTTTACTTGACTTATATGTTGTGTGATTGACTGCTATTTACCAGACATGGCCACCAGACGCTCTACTGGCTGTAGCTAAGAGGTTCCTGGGAGACATAGAGTTGCCAGAGACAGAACGTCAGGCTTGTATAGACATGTGTCAGGAGTTCCACACGTCCACTCAACAGTTGTATGTTGTATATGTTGTGTGATTGTGTGATATTCACCAGACATGGCCACCAGACGCCCTACTGGCTGTAGCTAAGAGGTTCCTGGGAGACATAGAGTTGCCAGAGACAGAACGTCAGGCTTGTATAGACATGTGTCAGGATCCACACGTCCACTCAACAGTTGTGTGTTGTATTTGTTGTGTGATTGACTGCTTTTTACCAGACATGGCCACCAGACGCCCTACTGGCTGTAGCTAAGAGGTTCCTGGGAGACATAGAGTTGCCAGAGACAGAACGTCAGGCTTGTATAGACATGTGTCAGGAGTTCCACACGTCCACTCAACAGTTGTGTGTTGTATATGTTGTGTGATTGACTGCTTTTTACCAGACATGGCCACCAGACGCTCTACTGGCTGTAGCTAAGAGGTTCCTGGGAGACATAGAGTTGCCAGAGACAGAACGTCAGGCTTGTATAGACATGTGTCAGGATCCACACGTCCACTCAACAGTTGTGTGTTGTATATGTTGTGTGATTGACTGCTTTTTACCAGACATGGCCACCAGACGCTCTACTGGCTGTAGCTAAGAGGTTCCTGGGAGACATAGAGTTGCCAGAGACAGAACGTCAGGCTTGTATAGACATGTGTCAGGAGTTCCACACGTCCACTCAACAGTTGTGTGTTGTATTTGTTGTGTGATTGACTGCTTTTTACCAGACATGGCCACCAGACGCTCTACTGGCTGTAGCTAAGAGGTTCCTGGGAGACATAGAGTTGCCAGAGACAGAACGTCAGGCTTGTATAGACATGTGTCAGGAGTTCCACACGTCCACTCAACAGTTGTGTGTTGTATATGTTGTGTGATTGACTGCTTTTTACCAGACATGGCCACCAGACGCTCTACTGGCTGTAGCTAAGAGGTTCCTGGGAGACATAGAGTTGCCAGAGACAGAACGTCAGGCTTGTATAGACATGTGTCAGGAGTTCCACACGTCCACTCAACAGTTGTGTGTTGTATTTGTTGTGTGATTGACTGCTTTTTACCAGACATGGCCACCAGACGCTCTACTGGCTGTAGCTAAGAGGTTCCTGGGAGACATAGAGTTGCCAGAGACAGAACGTCAGGCTTGTATAGACATGTGTCAGGAGTTCCACACGTCCACTCAACAGTTGTGTGTTGTATATGTTGTGTGATTGACTGCTTTTTACCAGACATGGCCACCAGACGCTCTACTGGCTGTAGCTAAGAGGTTCCTGGGAGACATAGAGTTGCCAGAGACAGAACGTCAGGCTTGTATAGACATTTGTCAGGAGTTCCACACGTCCACTCAACAGTTGTGTGTTGTATATGTTGTGTGATTGACTGCTTTTTACCAGACATGGCCACCAGACGCTCTACTGGCTGTAGCTAAGAGGTTCCTGGGAGACATAGAGTTGCCAGAGACAGAACGTCAGGCTTGTATAGACATGTGTCAGGAGTTCCACACGTCCACTCAACAGTTGTGTGTTGTATTTGTTGTGTGATTGCCTGCTTTTTACCAGACATGGCCACCAGACGCCCTACTGGCTGTAGCTAAGAGGTTCCTGGGAGACATAGAGTTGCCAGAGACAGAACGTCAGGCTTGTATAGACATGTGTCAGGAGTTCCACACGTCCACTCAACAGTTGTGTGTTGTATATGTTGTGTGATTGACTGCTTTTTACCAGACATGGCCACCAGACGCTCTACTGGCTGTAGCTAAGAGGTTCCTGGGAGACATAGAGTTGCCAGAGACAGAACGTCAGGCTTGTATAGACATGTGTCAGGATCCACACGTCCACTCAACAGTTGTGTGTTGTATATGTTGTGTGATTGACTGCTTTTTACCAGACATGGCCACCAGACGCTCTACTGGCTGTAGCTAAGAGGTTCCTGGGAGACATAGAGTTGCCAGAGACAGAACGTCAGGCTTGTATAGACATGTGTCAGGATCCACACGTCCACTCAACAGTTGTGTGTTGTATATGTTGTGTGATTGACTGCTTTTTACCAGACATGGCCACCAGACGCTCTACTGGCTGTAGCTAAGAGGTTCCTGGGAGACATAGAGTTGCCAGAGACAGAACGTCAGGCTTGTATAGACATGTGTCAGGAGTTCCACACGTCCACTCAACAGTTGTGTGTTGTATATGTTGTGTGATTGACTGCTTTTTACCAGACATGGCCACCAGACGCTCTACTGGCTGTAGCTAAGAGGTTCCTGGGAGACATAGAGTTGCCAGAGACAGAACGTCAGGCTTGTATAGACATGTGTCAGGAGTTCCACACGTCCACTCAACAGTTGTGTGTTGTATTTGTTGTGTGATTGACTGCTTTTTACCAGACATGGCCACCAGACGCTCTACTGGCTGTAGCTAAGAGGTTCCTGGGAGACATAGAGTTGCCAGAGACAGAACGTCAGGCTTGTATAGACATGTGTCAGGAGTTCGACACGTCCACTCAACAGTTGTATGTTGTATATGTTGTGTGATTGTGTGATATTCACCAGACATGGCCACCAGACGCTCTACTGGCTGTAGCTAAGAGGTTCCTGGGAGACATAGAGTTGCCAGAGACAGAACGTCAGGCTTGTATAGACATGTGTCAGGAGTTCCACACGTCCACTCAACAGTTGTGTGTTGTATATGTTGTGTGATTGACTGCTTTTTACCAGACATGGCCACCAGACGCCCTACTGGCTGTAGCTAAGAGGTTCCTGGGAGACATAGAGTTGCCAGAGACAGAACGTCAGGCTTGTATAGACATGTGTCAGGAGTTCCACACGTCCACTCAACAGTTGTGTGTTGTATATGTTGTGTGATTGACTGCTTTTTACCAGACATGGCCACCAGACGCTCTACTGGCTGTAGCTAAGAGGTTCCTGGGAGACATAGAGTTGCCAGAGACAGAACGTCAGGCTTGTATAGACATGTGTCAGGAGTTCCACACGTCCACTCAACAGTTGTGTGTTGTATTTGTTGTGTGATTGACTGCTTTTTACCAGACATGGCCACCAGACGCCCTACTGGCTGTAGCTAAGAGGTTCCTGGGAGACATAGAGTTGCCAGAGACAGAACGTCAGGCTTGTATAGACATGTGTCAGGAGTTCCACACGTCCACTCAACAGTTGTGTGTTGTATATGTTGTGTGATTGACTGCTTTTTACCAGACATGGCCACCAGACGCTCTACTGGCTGTAGCTAAGAGGTTCCTGGGAGACATAGAGTTGCCAGAGACAGAACGTCAGGCTTGTATAGACATGTGTCAGGAGTTCCACACGTCCACTCAACAGTTGTGTGTTGTATATGTTGTGTGATTGACTGCTTTTTACCAGACATGGCCACCAGACGCCCTACTGGCTGTAGCTAAGAGGTTCCTGGGAGACATAGAGTTGCCAGAGACAGAACGTCAGGCTTGTATAGACATGTGTCAGGAGTTCCACACGTCCACTCAACAGTTGTGTGTTGTATATGTTGTGTGATTGACTGCTTTTTACCAGACATGGCCACCAGACGCTCTACTGGCTGTAGCTAAGAGGTTCCTGGGAGACATAGAGTTGCCAGAGACAGAACGTCAGGCTTGTATAGACATGTGTCAGGAGTTCCACACGTCCACTCAACAGTTGTGTGTTGTATATGTTGTGTGATTGACTGCTTTTTACCAGACATGGCCACCAGACGCCCTACTGGCTGTAGCTAAGAGGTTCCTGGGAGACATAGAGTTGCCAGAGACAGAACGTCAGGCTTGTATAGACATGTGTCAGGATCCACACGTCCACTCAACAGTTGTGTGTTGTATATGTTGTGTGATTGACTGCTTTTTACCAGACATGGCCACCAGACGCTCTACTGGCTGTAGCTAAGAGGTTCCTGGGAGACATAGAGTTGCCAGAGACAGAACGTCAGGCTTGTATAGACATGTGTCAGGATCCACACGTCCACTCAACAGTTGTGTGTTGTATATGTTGTGTGATTGACTGCTTTTTACCAGACATGGCCACCAGACGCTCTACTGGCTGTAGCTAAGAGGTTCCTGGGAGACATAGAGTTGCCAGAGACAGAACGTCAGGCTTGTATAGACATGTGTCAGGAGTTCCACACGTCCACTCAACAGTTGTGTGTTGTATATGTTGTGTGATTGTGTGATATTTACCAGACATGGCCACCAGACGCTCTACTGGCTGTAGCTAAGAGGTTCCTGGGAGACATAGAGTTGCCAGAGACAGAACGTCAGGCTTGTATAGACATGTGTCAGGAGTTCCACACGTCCACTCAACAGCTGAGTGTAGAGTATCTGTTGAGGACTCAACGTCACACTTACGTCACCCCGACATCGTACCTGGAGCTCATCAACACCTTCAAGGATATACTGTCCATGAAACGAGAGTAAGTCTTCCAGTTATACTTACTGTAGATTAGGAGTCTTTGGGCCAGGCTTTTCTGCAAGTCTAAAATGTTGGTCCTCCGGTCTCAGGCCAAAATTGAGGTGTTTTGGAAAGTATTGATTAAAAAAATAATTAATTTTAATACTGCAATAGCTTTATAGTTTATTTATTTATACAATACTCATCAAGATCTCCTCCTTATTGCGGTGAAATTGGGAACATTTTCCGTGGTTTTGGCATCATCATCATCTCCCACATTAGCGAAAAACCATGAACATCATTCGGGATTGAGAGAAAATAGTCAATTTTTTATCCGGCGTCTTCAAGGCCGCTTTCAGTGATCGCAAAAAATAATACCCCCGCCGCAGCAAACCTGCCGTCTAAGCGAATTTCCATTTGGCCGAGTTGATTTTCAATTGATCTATTTAAATAACAATAGGTTTAACGAGTACCTAGGTTTGCTGCTACAAGGGAATTAATAAAGTAGTGTGTTTTTAGTAAAATATTGATAGCTTACTATAAAATAAATAAATTTGCCAATTTTGATCAAAATATATCCATAAACAAGCAAACTACAACATTTTACAATATTCTCCATAAGAATAACATGGGAATTTTTAATTTACCATTTTTTTTAGTTTTCTCCCTAACCAAAAACCGTACAAAAACACTTTGATATACTGAATTGTTTGTTTTAGCGAATTTCCCTATAGGGAAGTATTTTAGCGAATTTCCCTATAGGGAAGTAGCTATTACCGTAGGTCTCATGGTAAGACATAAGCCCGGGACCGATTTACTTTTTCATTTTGATGTCCCCAGAGGCCAAAAACACCATTCGTTCAAATTTTTATATATCTATATATAGAGATATATCCTACTATCCTACTAATATTATAAATGAGAAAGTTTGGATGGATGGATGTATGGATGTATGTTTGTGACAAGTGAACGCGAAAAATACTGGTCGGATTGGGCTGAAATTTGGCATGATGATAGCTCACATTCCCGATTAACATATAGGCATATTCTTATTTCAAAAATCCTTTCGGGCTCCGCCCCAGTGGCTCTGGAGTTTCCCATGTTAACCTTATGAGAAATGAAATTATTGAATCTTAACAGCTGTTTCAATTAAACAAGTTGGTTCTGTTCTGTGATGTTCAATAGCATTAAAGTCACAAAAATTACCAACAGGGTGCAGCACTATTATTTCTTTTACATTTATGACAACAGCTAATTTGCAACCAAAAGGTGAGTGAGCGTAGTGAACGAACTTCAACCTGGAGGCGAGTTAGCGTAGCGAACGAGCTATCCTGAAGGCAAGTGAGCGCAGCGAACGAGCTCCAACCTAAAGGTGAGTGAGCGTAGCGAACGAGCTCCAACCTAAAGGTGAGTGAGCGTAGCGAACGAGCTCCAACCTAAAGGTGAGTGAGCGTAGCGAACAAACTTCAACCAGGACGTGATTGAGCCATGCGAACGAGATAATCTTGAAAATTAAGAAGTTAAACGGGGCAAAGCCCGCGGGTTACAGCTAGTATATATATATATGTGTCCATCCGCACGATAACTTGAGTAATTTTTGTCCGATTTTGATAAAATTTGGTTTGAAGGTGTAAGGCGGGATAAACTTGAATGAGTTCGCGAACCAGCATGATCGGACTATGGGAACGGGGGTTTATGGGGGGTTTTATGGGGTAAAAATAGGTTTTTCCCATTTTTGACCCTAAAAACACAAAATTTCACAATTTCTTTTCAAACCATTTTGTAGAGCTTAAAAAAACAAATAATTTAGTATATTGAAGCGTTATTATGCGCCTAATGGTTACGGAGAAAATTCAAAAAAATTGTAATTTTAAAATTCCCATGTTATTCTTATGGAGAATAAGTCAACTGTTGTAGTTTGCTTGTTTATGAACATATTTTGATCGATTTTGGAAAATACTTTTATTTCTTACTAAACTATTATCATTTTATAAAAAAAACTTTTTTACCCTCCCTGTTGCAGCAAACCTAAGTACTCGTTAAACTAATTCTATTTAAATAGGAAATAAATGTGCTATTTTTATGGAGGCATTTTAGTGTAAATCCAATCAGGTTAATGGAAATTCGCTTAGTCGGCAGGTTTGCTGCGGCGGGGGTATTTTTAAGCTCTTTAAGAAGGTTTAGAGAAAAATTGGGAAATTTTATGTTTTGAGGGTAAGAAGTGAGAAAAACCAATTTTTACCCCATAAAACCCCCCATAAAACCCTGTCCCCATGGTCCGATCATGCTGGATCGCGAACTCATTCAAGTTTATCCCGCCTTACACCTTCAAACCAAATTTCATCAAAATCGGATAAAAATTACTCAAGTTATCGTGTTCACGGACACATATATATATATATAAATCTATATATATATATATCTATATATATATATATACATATATAAAAATTTGAACGAATGGTGTTTTTGGCCTCTGGGGACATTTAAATGAAAAAGTAAATCGGTCCCGGGCCTAAGTCTTACCATGAGACCTACGGTAATAGCTACTTCCCTATAGGGAAATTCGCTAAAAGCTCAACTCGACTTGATCCAGCTCCTACTTGGACTGAAAATTATTTCCAGCTCCAACCGATCCCTAGTGCCAACTGTTGGCCCGACCCGACCTGAAAATTTTGGGGACCTGCAGATCTCCACTTTAAGTTACAACTTACTCCTAAATATGTTGCTTTATGTAAAACACTGAAAATAAATGTTATTAATTAGGGTAATGAGTTTAATCTGAAATCTTGGCACAATTTCTTGGAATTTAATAATTTTGAATTTCGAATGGCTGTTTAAGAATGACAATACATAAGCTTTAAGATTAATTTAAACTTTTTCTGGACACTCCATTCGAGTGAAAAGTAGGAGCATATTCAATCATCCTATTCAGATTCCATTTGAGTTTGACCACTAATCGGGTTGTGACTGTCTCATAGGGAGTTGGTGGTTGGCAAGAAGAGGTACGAAGTGGGTTTGGAGAGTCTACAGAAGGCGGCTAAGGAGGTCGGTGTGATGAAGACTGAGCTCGTTGCTCTACAGCCTCAACTGCAGCAAGCTACTGAGAACGTCAAGGCTGTCATGCAGAAGGTGGAGACGGAGAGTGAAGACGTGGCTAAGGTTAGTTAGGCATTGAGAAACATCAGTTCTAACTCCTGAAATGTTTTCCGTATGCTCGAATCAAACATACTTCTCTTGCACTAAATTGTGAGACTCTAACTACTAGGCTGGGAGGTCACAATTTACTTCCTGCTAACTTCCGTGGCTATTTTTATTTTTATCCATTTAGGTACCTCAGTAACATAACACCTTTACTTGTGGCTATCTTGTGCATCTGCTTCCACAATCCCTACATGTTTTGTGTCATCCTGTCTTGTTCCCAATGTGGTTTTATTGTTTACTGAACTATGATTTATATTTTACCTACCTAACCTTAGTAAATAATGATAGGTAAATAACGAATAATGGCTAAAATGTACCTTTTTAGACAATCCTGAAACAGTAGAGTAACGGTAAGATCATTAAACACGATTCCGGGGCTATAAAAATGAATTTTAAATATTATTAACCTCATTAAATATATTTTAATCGCCACTGACCAATCAGATGAGGTGTAACCTCCACCTTTTCCCCCAGATTCCAGATTCCAGATTCCCCTCATTAGTTTTTGTTGTTCTTCTGATCTGCATTGTCTTGAGCTTGTCGTTAAATGGCTTAGAGGTTCAATAATGACTGTCTTTTTGGTAATGAGCAACCCTTTCTTTAGGCACTCCGTTGACAGTGGCTCTGATCTGAAAATCATTGTGAGTTTGAGTAGACTCTAAAACTAGAAAAAAGCAGACAATTAGTACTGTCAGTGTCAAAATGCTTTCCCTGGAGAATTGTTTTGTCTGCACACTTGAGGCAGAATTTAAAAATGTGAACAAAAAAATATCTATTTTTACTTCCATATTTAATGTTACTTATTATAATAATTTATCATTTGTATCACTTGATGCTGGTTGGCAAGCTTACACTTGAGGCATATAAGAGAAAATGCAAAACAATTAATTGTTGTCCACAGGTGGAAGCAGTGGTGAGAGAAGACGAGGCGGTGGCCAATGAGCAAGCGGCCGCGGCGCAAGTGATCCGCTCCGAGTGTGACGCTCGACTAGCCGAGGCAATGCCTATATTGGAGGCTGCATTGGCAGCCCTCGACACTCTGACACCAGCAGACATCACTGTGGTCAAGTCCATGAAGAGTCCTCCCAAGGGAGTCAGGCTGGTCATGGAGGCTGTGTGTATATTGAAGGTGAGTCAGGCTGGTGATGGAGGCTGTGTGTATATTGAAGGTGAGTCAGGCTGGTCATGGAGGCTGTGTGTATACTGAAGGTGAGTCAGGCTGGTCATGGAGGCTGTGTGTATATTGAAGGTGAGTCAGGCTGGTCATGGAGGCTGTGTGTATACTGAAGGTGAGTCAGGCTGGTCATGGAGGCTGTGTGTATATTGAAGGTGAGTCAGGCTGGTCATGGAGGCTGTGTGTATATTGAAGGTGAGTCAGGCTGGTCATGGAGGCTGTGTGTATATTGAAGGTGAGTCAGGCTGGTCATGGAGGCTGTGTGTATATTGAAGGTGAGTCAGGCTGGTCATGGAGGCTGTGTGTATATTGAAGGTGAGTCAGGCTGGTCATGGAGGCTGTGTGTATATTGAAGGTGAGTCAGGCTGGTCATGGAGGCTGTGTGTATACTGAAGGTAAATAAGTTGCAGTGTTGGTTAGAACATGTGTTCAAAGGTGAAACCTTTCACCTTAAACATAAAACAACATAGGGATGAGTCTCCTATCCCTATAAAAGGCTCAGCTTCCAGACAGTTAATGGCACACACTAAAAGTCACAACACAATTAAATTAATCCTTTTTTGTGGTTTTTTTCCTCCAAGAATGACTTTAGATGACGTTACTTATTCGACTTAAGGTGACTATTCAGTACTTTACAGGACATCAAGCCAGACAGAGTCCCAGACCCGTCTGGTAGTGGCAAGATGGTGGAAGACTACTGGGGACCGTCCAAGAGACTATTGGGAGATCTCAAGTTCTTGGAGGGTCTTGTACAATTTGACAAAGACAACATTCCGCCACGAATCATGAAAGTTATCAATGAAAAGTTCCTTACCAATGAAGACTTTGATCCGGTCAAAGTAAAAGTTGCTTCTACCGCAGCAGAAGGTGATAACTTTGAGTTTGTTGTTTCTAATTTTTTCATGGACGAAGTGTATTAGTTTGAATGGATTTTTAAATTAAGAATAACTGCAAGTTTTTACAAAGAAGTTGACTGGGTATTTTAAGACTCGAAACAGTTGTTTAGAAATCTAAAAAAGTTGCATAGTTTTCTTGCATCTATTTTAAGGGTAGGCCTACCTGATTCCTTCAATTGATGTTCTATCTTAATTGATCTAATAGTTTTTACTCTTTCTATTATTCAAGATTTACAATTCTAAATTGAATATAACAACTTCTTCATTTAAGTCAAGGTAGGCCTATATGACATATTTAACATTTGCATAGCCAATTTAAACTTGTTTGTGTATAAAATTAAAACAATGTACTCTCTCTTTTAGGACATTTTTAGCTTTTACATTTAATTTGAAATTTAATTTTCAAATAAATACTGATCCTGCATAATATTTTTATGATTTTTGTCGCATTATAGCACAATTGTTATTGGATAGAGTCAATTATAGAGATGGCTAGGGATCAGTCATAGTTATTTACTGGTAGGTTTTACTTCCATTCCGGCCCCTCATATGTTATCATTATGATATGAATAAAGCTTTTTCTTTGTTTCATATTTATAACAGTACTGATTAATTAAATTCTACCAAATATGGTGACCTAAAAGGATCTATTTTTTGTTCTATCATGAATTATTGTTCTACCCATAGGTTTGTGTAAGTGGATCAGAGCACTGTCCGAGTATGATGTACAAGCTAAGATAATTGCACCTAAGAAAGCAGCTTTAGCAGTAGCAGAAGCTGACTATAACACAGCAATGGCTGCTCTGGAGATAAAACAGGCCAAGTTGAGGGAAGTACAGAAGAAACTGGCAGACTTAGAGGCCGTGCTGGAGCAGAACAAGGCTACCCTTAACAACCTGCAGGTAACTGGAATAGCCTGTATTCGGAAAATTATCAATTGCTATGCCAACTTATCTCTGATTTACATGGAGACCTTTGTGTAACTAGTTAGGGTCAATCTTGGTGGTGTAGAAACTGTCTAACGTCACAGACTGACGCCCAAATGACAGTTGTAGTTTCTTGTTCTTCCTGGATAGACCAAAACATCTATTTCTTTTGGAATAAACCCAGTACCATCCAATTTTAGTTTGAAACATTATTCCCATCTAAGTTTCATCCACATTATTAATGTAACCCTCTGCAAATTCAGCCTCAACACTTAAATGAATCTTAAGCCATAAATCAGGTCTTAATTGAATTTCAAGTTTATGCATCTCACTGAGCATTGAGCCCAGCATTACCTATTTTATACACTGAAACTGTTACAATTTCTAGAAAAAAAATTTAAAGCCTAACAGAAATGTTAGAGACATGTACGATGCCATAGAGGAAGTGTCCAAAAGAATTTTTTATAGTCCACGTATTAGGGTAGCAGTTTATTCCATCACGTTATTCATATAGTTTACTACACCAACAGATCTTCATTCGATCAAGCATAAAACAAACCACTAAAGTAGTATTACTTTACAAATCCTTACTAGGCTGGAGTGTTAGTACAGGTTAGTAGAGAGTCACAGTATTTAGATGTAAGGAACAACATAAAATGGAGATAATATTTATACTAAAGATATTAGTCATACTGTAATTTTTCATGGGATTTCTCAAAGAATATTAACATTTTTCTAAAGATTTGAACGATTCCTGATTTCAGGATGAAGTTGACCTCTGCACCAAGAAGCTACAGAGAGCTGAGGAACTCATTGGTGGTTTGGGAGGAGAGAAAGACAGATGGAGTGCCACAGCCAAGGCTCTTGGGGAACGATATCATCTGCTTACAGGTAAAGTAAATATTCTAACAAGCTCCAGTTGCAACAGTACAAGCTAGTTTTCCAAATCTAACACCGCTACTTTCCTTACCACAATTCTGACCGACTTAACACCTCTTTCTCTATGCAATGCTCAGCATTGTTATAGTTGGTTGAAGTCCACATTCCGTCCATGTATGTAATGCGTTCTGTGATTAATGATTTCTGTGATTTGAAACATTGGCTGAAATACTGGAATTTACTGAACAATTCTAATTAAAGAAATAGCTCATCAAAAAACCTGCTGAACATGATTATTTCAACACTAATCTTTCATTGATCTTCACTAAAAACTACACAACCTGAACCGGATGTGTTGCCGGTATTACCTATCTATCTATTAATTTGAAAGATTAAACAATATAAAGGAACTAGAGTCATAAATGTAAGAGTTAAACCTCTTACTCTGAACCTTTTTCAACAAAATTTAGTGAAGCAACGTTAAACATATTGCTCGGTTAGTAGGTTTGCTGTGGTGGGAATATTTCTATTCAGAGGGGTTTACCAAACAACACAGTCAATGCGAGATTGATTGCAGGAGACATTCTGGTTGCGTCAGGAGCTGTGGCGTACTTGGGACCGTTTACAATGCAGTTCAGACAAGATCAGATGCAGAAGTGGATTGAGCAAGTCAAGAGTTACAACATTTACTGTTCCAAAGACTTTTCTCTCACCTCTGTTCTGGGAGAACCTGTACAAATCAGAGCGTGGAATATCTTCGGTCTTCCCAGCGACTCATTCTCCGTTGACAACGGAATCATTGTCAAGTAAGTATAAATAGTTTCTACGCCTTATTTTTGTTTCATGGATTTCTGATGCATGTGGTATTTGATTGTAACTGCTTCACAGGAATGCAAGACGTTGGCCACTGATGATCGACCCGCAGAGTCAAGCTAACAAATGGATAAAAAACATTGAGAAAGCAAATAATCTGAGTGTGATGAGAATGACCAGCTCTGATTATGTGAGAGTTCTCGAGAACGCTATTCAGTTTGGTCAACCTGTAAGTCAGTTGTTTGAATAATGTATCGATAACAGAAATACAGTAGACTCCCTCTTATCTGGACACCTTTTAACCGGACTACACGCGCCATCATGGCCAAAGAGCCGGACAATTTTTATCATCACATCTGTAAGTCTAATACTGTATAAAGTATGCATTTAAACGGTCCGTTTTAACGAGTTTTTGGGGACGTCGGTTTAACCGGAAAAAGCGTTATCCGGACTGGCCTCGGTCCCAAGGAGTCCGAATAAGAGAGAGTCTACTGTACTTGATACTTGATTTAACCACTTTATTACTTCAACACTTCAAGACTTTGTAACCAATATTTATATAAATTCAGGAACATTATTTATCCTATTTGAAATCTAAGTTAAGCTAATTTCCATTTGAAAAAAATAGTTACGGTAACCTATGTTTTTGATGACTGTGACTGTTTGTTTTGATGTAATTTAATTCCTAAAAATATTTATAGTCATAAAAATTTATTAAATTTAATTTACATTTAATTAAATCTAAATAAAATCAATTTAATTAAATCTAAGTTACACTCATTACTGTAGATATTTTGGTAATCTTTTTGTAGGTACACACTACACACATGGGCAATTATCGTTTTAACCATGTTAATTAGTGATGGGTTACTAACTACTACCGGTACATTCTGAATTCACAATCAGTATTATTGTACATTGTATTTATTGATATTGAATTGATTTTTGAGTTTACATAATATCAAACTCTGTTACCTTATGTATATAAGATTTTTACTTTAGCTACAATAAAGAAAATTTCTCTCCTCCAATAAATAATTGGTTCCAAAATATTCTTCCTAAAACGCTACGAGGGGCTCACTTTGGATTCACACCGATTACTGTTTTTCAGGTTTTGCTGGAAAACGTAGGTGAAGAGTTGGATGCTTTACTTGAGCCATTGCTTCTGAAACAGACATTCAAGCAGGGAGGAGCCATGTGTATAAAGCTGGGAGATTCTGTGGTAGAATATTCTCCTCAGTTCAGGTTGGTATATTTTTTTCTCCAATTGTGTTTGGTTTATGATTCCGTCTTGTTTACCTACCTAGAGGTGGTTTATAAGTAAGTTTTAGTACTTAGTTAACCTGTAGAATCAGATATGGAATTATTATTATATTTTTCTATTATGTATAAGAAGAAGAATAAACAACCCAATAACCCAAGTTTATATTTTTTATGACACCTATAACTGTCACTATATATTTGATGTTTTCATTGCCTAAGTGTCATAGCTCAAATGGAGGTGTAATATTAATGTTGTTCCTACTCAAACAGGAAACAGATTTATCTACTTATTTATTTTACTTGTGTTTACCTAACCTATTGACATATTTTATGTTTTATGTAAGAGAATGGTCTTGTTAGTATCTGGCATCAACCTTATGTAAGATTGCATCATTGCATTAATTACATTAATTGAAAGCCCAGTGACAAAAGCAGCCTACAGAAACGATCTTGCTTGAATTTTTGTAGTGTCGAAAATATTTAAACTTTCTGCTATGTATAAAACTAATTTCATTTCAAAAGACTGGGACGGGTGGCGTCGTCCTGTAATCCAGCTACTAGGAGGTCACGAATTGTGGATATTTATAGGGATGCGCTGTGGTTGCGATGCTCCCTGCTGTGGATTAACGTCCGCACTAGTGAGTACTACGACTATCCGCAGTACTTTCCTGATAATTAGACCAATTCGTAAATTACAAGGAAAAAGGATTCCACTATAAACTGTAGGTCCCTTAGTTGCCATTAGCTGTATGGGCTATTAATTAACAGCTGTGTCTTAGGAACATGTTGGCCTTAGTCACTAACAAGACTACAAGATCGCGCCACTCATCCTACACTCATCCTTCACTCATATTTGGGTTAAAATACGCACATAATGGCGTCCCCATCTTAAATAATTGATAATTGATAATTGATAACTGTCAACAACTTAGCAGCAGATTTAAAATCAGCACATTGACACAAATGATTAGTAAAAATCTTATATGAATTGTTATGATAGCTTCCAGTGTGAGATAGTATAGCGGTGTCTGTTACTCGGCAGGTTCTATCTGACCACCAAGCTGCGTAACCCTCACTACCTCCCAGAGATTGCAGTCAAAGTGACTCTACTCAACTTCATGATCACACCTACAGGTCTGGAGGATCAGCTGTTAGGTATTGTAGTGGCCAAGGACAGACCAGATCTGGAGGCTGAGAAGAACCAACTGATAGTCCAGGGAGCTGATAACAAGAGGTGAGTCTTCACTAGGTAAAACTTGTGAATTTACTTGCAAACAGAGCTTGGTAGCTGAGTGGTTATAGTGCACGCCTAGCAATTAGAAGGACCCTAGTTCAATCCTGAGAAAGATAACTTTTCGATATTTTGAAACTAGACCCAGCTGTCTCTTGATGGGTCTTTTAATGATGGTCTTGAATGATCCTGACTAATGAAAAAGCTGAACCCAGTCAGAAAAAACTTGAAACTATCATCTCACTCCATTCTACACTCACCTTGCATTCATATTTCATAAGCTTAAAATATAAATACACAGGCCCTACTAATTACAAAGTACACTAGTACATACATACCAAGTAGGATTGCTGTCGGTGCACACCGTCATCCAGATGATGACCTTTGTGTCTCAGTCCATCCAGGCTATTCTCCACGCAATGAAGCTCTACGTTGACCTAGATCATAAAATAACTAAATACCAGAACCAGTGTGAGATCTGAGGGCTTAGGCCAAGGCTATTAAATAGAAAAAGAGGTTGCCTCAGTCACGCGTATGACGTCACCCGCCGACCCAGATCTGTTTACAAATAAATAAATGAAAAACAAACAACAATAACAAAGTACTTGACAGGTGACAGCTGTGTAAATTAAAAGCAGCACCGTCCGGGTCGGCGGGTGACGTCATACGCGCGACTGAGGCAACCTCTTTTTCTTTTTAATAGCCTTGGGCTTAGGCTAGATGTTAACCTGACCTGGAAAATGTGACGAACAATCCCAGGTCGTTGTCCAATAGAGTGGGGTTTTCTTAGGGGTATCATGATCCAGTTGTGCTATTGATTGCATGTATTAAGAACAACCATTTACTATGTTATCAAAAAAGCAAGTATATGTGTTTGTAATTAAATTTGCTTTCAGAATGCTGAAAGAGATTGAGGAGAAGATCCTGTACATATTGTCAACAGCTGGTGACAACCTGTTGGAAGATGAGGAGGGAGTGTCTGTGCTGAGCTCTTCCAAAGTCCTGGCCAATGAGATCTCAGAGAAACAAGCTGTTGCGGAAGTGACTGAGAAATCTATAGACGCTGCTAGACTGGAATATGTCCCTATTGCTAATCATTCCACAGTGTTGTTTTTCAGCATCAGTAAGTATAATGGAGGACTTTTTTGATTCAGTTAAAATTAAAATCTGTATCTAGTATCTATGATCTTTAAAAAAAATGTAATCTAATTTACAGTTAAAATAATTAAATGCTATATTTTGTATGTCTAATAAATAAAAATAATTAATGCGTAGTCTTCTCAAAAACATGTGGCAACGATATTGTCTTACATGTTTGTACTACCTATGTTGTTTGTTTTCAGCTAACCTAGCAAACATTGACCCTATGTACCAATACTCTCTTGTCTGGTTTATAAACCTGTTCAAAGCTGCAATCGACAACACAGAGAAATCTGAAAACGTTGAAGACAGAATAGCAGAGCTTACTACATACTTTACATACTCACTGTACGTCAACATCTGTCGAAGTCTCTTTGAGAAGGTAAGAATTAGGTTAATGTTTTTTCCCTATCATAGTCAGTTTGGTTTGAATTTTTAAAACTAAATACAACTTGTCCAGTGTCAGAAACGTAAACAACCAACCCACCCCAACCAAGCAACATGGCTGTCACAGAACTACTGAGTTAACTGTCTGTGTTGTGTTTGTCACAGGACAAGCTGCTATTCTCCCTGTTACTCACAGTCAACCTGATGTTCAACAAACAGCAGATGGACCACTCAGAGTGGATGTTTCTACTGACTGGAGGGGTTGGTCTGGACAACCCTTACCCCAATCCAGCAACATGGCTGCCACAAAACTCCTGGGACCAGCTTTGCCGCTGTGATCTGCTCACAAACTTCAAGGTAGATGTATCAACTGTGACCAGAAATATCTAGGAAAATAATCTAATCATTATTTATTTATTCCACCAAACTGTCAAAATTGTCATGTTGTTCGGTTAAAGTCACTGTTTGGATGAGTACAGATTTATAGCAGATCTGACAAATTATATAAAAAGACCTTTCCATTCCATTATAGCTGAACAGTTTATCACTTTTATAATGTAACTGAATTTAGTTGAATTGAACGTCTAACAGGGTGAGGTGATGTAGATTTCTTTATTCAGTTCAATACACTGACTTTTTAACCAAGCCTAATTGAAAGGAGAACTATTAGAAACAGTACATATTCCATTTAGTAACTTTACTGGTTTGTGTTTTTAGGGCTTCCGAAAACATTTTGAGACACATCAAAAGGAGTGGAAAGAGTTCTTTGATAGTGTGGAACCACACAAAAACCCATATCCCGACCCTTGGGAAAAGAAATTAAATAGATTTCAGAAGATTATAATGCTAAGATGTGTCCGATATGACAAGGTTGTTCCAGCGATTCAGGATGAAGTGGAAAGTGAGTATTTGAAATATATTCCAGCCATCCACTTTGTATTTATTTGTACCATTATTAACTATTAAAGAGTCAAATCTCGATGTGATTCAATCATCACATACACACAGAGTGGAGAAATGGTGAATGGTGTGGTTACCATAGTATAAGGAGCAAGGTGAGTCGATCCAAGCTTCTCAATATTCCAGCTAGGAGTGTGGAGCGCTCAGTAAAACCCAGCACCTAGTTATAAACTGGAAATCAGGTTAACCAAAACCATAATCAAAAATTAAAATTAATTAGAAAATTAGCTAGACAATGGTTCTGCAATGGTGCGGGTAGTTGTCAACTTCTGTGAGGAAAAATTTCAGAAAACCATTGTCAATTGTTTTAAGAAAAAGATTTTGTTTGTACAGTTGTAGATTTTAAGATTATGGTATGGATGATAAAATAGCTTAACATGTTGACTGCTCATGCCGACTTTAGTAGGCGTAACTAGCGCTTCCAGGTGGCGCGCGCCGATAATTGTCGGCGGCCAACCACCTGATATACATAGAGTCAGTATGAGCTCAGCCATTGCCGGGGAAGGTTATAACTGTTGCCAGCTTGTAGCTTAGAATGCGAGCTTTATTTTGGTATAGGTTGGTACTAACATTTCCAGTGAAATCCCGTCTGGCAATGCTTTTGTCCCGGTTTTTGGGGATTTTCTCTCTTCGACCCACATAGCAAAGACACTGGGTACGGATCCAGGCAGTGCTGCTACCTTTGGGTGTTTCAGTGAACTCTTGGGGAAACGCAGTATAATCACCGCTGCTCTTTTGTGATTCGTCAGTTTGAAATATTTGAATGCCAATTGCGTTCGCTGATTCGGTTGCGCGCCAGAGCTTCGCCCGCCATTGGCGAGCGCCCGTTCATAGGTTGTCAGCACTCAACATGTTAAAACAGTAAACTGTTTTAGATTACATTGAACTAAAAGAACCTGTGAATTTCAACCATTGATTAATCAAATAATGTTACCCAAAACGGTCTTGCCTCCTTTGTTTTCGTTAATTTGGATTTTAATTAAGTTTTAGATCCTTCTGTCTAATGTCTAACTTCAACCTCTAAACTGCAGTCTTTACTATCTGTGTTATGTAAGGTGAGAAAGTCTACGCCTAATACTGTGAATGTGTGTATCACAACTCACGACCTAACCAAACCCCTCTTTCACAGGACAGTTAGGTCGCAGGTTTGTGGAGCCGCCTCCGTTTGATCTCCCAGCATCGTTTGCTGACTCCCATTGCTGCATTCCTCTCATCTTTGTGCTGACTCCTGGTGCTGATCCCACAGCTCTGCTGCTCAAGTTTGCTGAGGATATGGTAATTATTATGTGTGTAAAATTAGAAGTTATTTTTATTTTATGTCAACAACTCTATATAAAATAACTGCTTGGTGAGAATATTTATTTTATATCCACACTGTAAGCTAATAGATTTTCCTTTCTATGGATTTAATTAGTTTGTTACTACTTAGAGAAGTATTAACAAACTAATTCAATACATGGAAAGGAAAATATATTTAAATAAGAGATAAAGATATATTTAGTAAATATGTTTTTGTAAAATAGATCCTGGAAAAAAAACTCCTGTTCCCTTGTCCAAAATATTTCAATTTGAAATACATTATGTTCTGTTTGTTAATTTTAGTAGTATGGTGCAAACCTTTATAACTTTTGGTAATATGTAATACAGTGTTAAATGTAAATTTGAAACATGCATCAGTATGTCAGGGGCACAATATTAAGTATTTTAAAATAATCAGAGCAAAGAGTATTTGTTATGTGTACAAAGAAGTGAGATGCTTTGTGTACCTTTGTTATTTTCTATGATCAGAAGTTTTTTTCTACAGGATTATTCTGTTTATATCTTATTTCAATCAAGCCCAGTTACGCACAATCAAAATACTACTCTCTGTTGATTGAATAGGTGACTTTCTTATTATTACCTGAGCATTATAAGCTCTCAGTCTTATATTAAACTCAAACTCACACAAAACATAGGTTTACAGAACCCTGAACTAAAGTGAATCCTGTGTAGGGATTCGGAGGGAACAGACTAAACTCGCTGTCACTGGGTCAAGGCCAGGGCCCAATAGCTGTGAGGATGATAGATGAAGGAGTCAAGAATGGAACCTGGGTATTACTGCAGAACTGTCATCTGGCCAAGAGCTGGATGCCTGTGTTGGAAAAGGTACACTTGGTTGGACGTTTTTAATTTCAAATTTGGTTTTCTATGGTATTGACTAGAGTCAAAAACTAGACTAGACTAACTAAACTTGACTAGAGTCTCTTGAGTGATATTGTCAAACCTTGAGTCAAGTTTAGTAGTACAAGTTAGTCAACAAATCATAACTTTTTTAAATATCGATAAATTATTAAATTGAATCAATGTTTAATCTTTGTAACTACAAACAATTATTTTATTTCTGTTATGAGCAGTTATGCTAATATTTTTGCATAGAAGACATTGCATTTGTAATGTAACACTAATGCTAATTATTTGTTTCTTTGATGAATGTTGGCACAAGTTGGTCCTGTTATTGACATAAACTTTTTCACTATACATTATTGTGAAACTGAACTATTTCACTATACATTATTCTTATTTTGCATTTATAAAATAGACAAACAGACCAAACATTATGTAGAAACAAAAATCAAACTAATTAAACAGGGCACTTTATGTTGTACATTAAGCCCAACAAAACAGTTAAGTTCTCACTGGCAGTCTAATTTTTGTTTCTCTTGATAATATTAGTGTAGTGATGAGGGGAGAGAGCTGGTCTAGTGGTGAGCGTGGAACTTTAGTGCCGGGGACTTTAATGGTCCCGGGTTCAAATAACGCCAATTACCAATGTATTTTGTATGTGATAATGCCGCAACCTACTAGGACAAGCCTGAAGTAATGTGTAAAACAGTTCCGGACTAGAACTAGGGTCCTTAGATGTGAAAGTGGGACATGGAAAAAAATTGCAGTAATGATTTTTTTACAATTATGATTGATATTTCAGCTCTGTGAGAACTTTAGCCCTGAGTCCACTCACCCTGACTTCAGACTCTGGTTGACTTCATATCCTGCAGACCATTTCCCTGTGTTTGTTCTGCAAAACGGAGTGAAAATGACCAATGAACCACCTAAAGGAATGCGAGCTAATGTCTTGAGGTAATCCCTTTGATACAAAAGTTTAAAGGTATTATACATGCTTCATTCAAGTGGGCACAAAAAGGTCATTTTATTTGTTCCTTCCCCGTGCATAGCGCTTGATTTATTTCTAAAGTTCACTTTCAAAGATTAAGTGATTATGTGATTAAGTGAGTAAGGCTACTTCTTTATTAGCCCGCTTTGATAATACTTTCAAAAAGTTCACTCTTTATTGTATTATTATACTTTTTACTTTTATTATTATACTTGTGAAACTTGCAGGTCATTAACAAGTGATCCGATAGCAAACTTGGAGTTTTTCGAAGGCTGTAAACAAACAGCGGCCTTTAAGAAACTTGTTTTTGGGCTGTGCTTTTTCCACGCTCTGGTTCAAGAGCGGAGAAAGTTTGGACCCTTGGGGTGGAACATACCTTACGAGTTTAACGAGACTGACTTAAGAATAAGTGTGCAGCAACTACATATACTGCTGAACCAGTATGAGGTGAGTGGAAGTATTTTGATTTTTACCTGGTTTCAAAACAAGATGATACCTTACTGGATAGTATAAGCTATATTTATCAGTTTATTACAGCTACCGTACCCAGGGCTTAATTTCTAATTTGAGAAGTACCGGAGCCATGACTTACCGGGGGGTCTGGGGGGTATGGAATACCCCCCAGGGAAAGAGGGGGGTCCGGGGTTCCTCCCCCGGAAGATTTTTGTAAAAATTGCACTTGAATTGGTGCATTTTAAACACATTTGAGCATGGTTAAGAATGCACATATACAGCATTATATTATATACAAAATAGTAATATAACAGGTGTAAAAATTAAAGAAGTTTGCCAGCAACTAAGCAGAAGCACTTAGTATAGTATGCAGTGTATCCACACGACCAAAACAATAATCCCGCTAACTGGGTTGTAAAATGCCATTCCATGCAGTTTTTTATTATGAAAACTGTCGTTGTATTTCTCATGCAGTTTTTGTTATTTTGTTTATTTCTTCTGAGAGTTAAATTTGACATAGGCCTATATTACACATCCACTCCACTGTTCCAATCCAATCCAATCCAATCACACAGCACGCAGTCAGTGGACTGAGATCATCGATCTGAACGAACACAGACTCAGTCAGTGGCAGTCGGCACCTGGTCGGCAGACGGCACTGTCGGCAGACTGGCTTACAAGTAGGAACACCGTTCCCCGTTGTATAATAAACTTTGAATACTTTGCCCTGAAGTAAAGATTCGGTATTTGACACGATTTTTACAAAGAATTGAAAACCATAAGTCAACAATTGAAAAATAAAAATACTATTTACAGCTAATTAAGATCGATTCAAAAATAAATTATCAATCCAGATAACAGGAGCTTCGCTCCAGTGTCCTGAGAAGTACCGGAGCTGCGCTCCGGTGTGCTCCGGCTAAAATTAAGCCCTGACCGTACCCCTATGATAACTTTATGTGACACCAGCTTAATGCTGTTATTGCATCAAAATGAAGCATTTTGATTGACTGTTAAGCTCAATACAGTCTCAGTACAGTTGAACCTACAACAAATTAAAGGTCTTATCATCATCAGGCTAAAACTTAGTGTGCAGCTGTTCCTTACTATAATATTATTTGAGACACTCTTCGTTTTAAAAGTCATAGATTCCAGTTTAGGATTCAACGACCTAAAAAGTGACATAAACACTTATTTTTATATGTAAAATGCAAAATATAATCAAAAACCCTATTTCTTAAAAATATTCTTAAGGTCTTGTTAGCCGTCCATTTTCACTTTTATGATTTTCTGTTTGTTGACGTAGGATGTACAGTTTGATGCGCTCTGCTATCTCACCGGAGAGTGTAACTACGGAGGAAGAGTTACGGACGATTGGGATAGAAGATGTCTAAACACAATCCTCCGCAAATTCTATTGTCTTCGTCTGCTGTCTGATGTGACGTACTACTTTGATCCGTCAAGTAAGTGTGATGTTGAGTGCAGGTTTCTGTGCTAAGCAACACATTGTAGTAAGGGTTGTCATGTATACTGTAAGTCTGTTATTTGTTCTTGCACAACAGTTTGTTTGTAAGTAATTTGATTTTATTGATAGACTGTACAGGCACTCGTAGGCTACAAAGCCAAGCAATACAAACAAACAATTAATTAAGATATAACTAAGGACTACTAGTTGAAACATATAGTTCACATAAAGGTACTTCATGATAATGACACTGTAACTTGTCTCCAGCTAGATAAATAATTATGATTTATGGGTAAAGCCTACACAAACAAAAAACAGATGAATAGGCCTACATTTTTTATGATTAAATAATCAGTCCAACTAAAACCATGCATATATGTAGTGGGTCTATTAAAAGTAGGATCTGTTTTTTTCCATCCTCAGAGATGTACTACGTGCCTGACGTGAAGGACCACGATGCATTTGTGAACTACGTCAAGACGTTCCCTCTGATCACCAGCCCCTCGGTGTTTGGGATGAATGAAAACGCAGACATTATGAAAGACCAGCAGGAAACTACTGTTCTTTTTACAAACACACTTTTCACTCAGGTATTGACTTAATAATAGGCAAGCATTTGCAACCCTTAACTCTTAAAAATATGTTAGCATTAACTTCCTCACTTAAAATTTAATCTGTGTTTCTTGCTGTTTAAAAAGAGATCTTTTACATTGGCAAGGTGGAACCATCACTGTCATCTTAGCAACAGCAGCATAAAGCTCCTATGATTAGGATTCATTCAGCTGTAGAAACTTGTTCATCTGAAATTACAAATTCTGCCACTTGTAAATGTGCTTTGGCTTTCTGAGATAAGTTTTACTTCTTTGAGTATCTAAATGTAAACAGTAATTCAGATAAAACCAAATTTTAACGTCCTGTAAATGGGTAGATTTATCGGATTTATTAATTAGAAATCAAGATTTTTAAATACTCCATAAATTGCTTTTAGTGATACCATTTGTTGAATAAATTTAGGAAAATTCATTGTCATTTAGCTACTTATAAAATGGTATTTAATAATCCATCCAAAAGTTAACTAAGTTAAATAACTCTCAAATACAATCACCAACCCCTAATGCACTTCAATGATGAATCCATACTTCCATAGTTCAGAAATGTTTCTTGGTTATTTCTTCTTAACTTCTATTTGATTTTTTCTCATGCTATTGATTACCATATTTCCTACAAGTCCAATATCTAATGTTTGTGCCATTTCAGGTGTAATATGTGTAATTGTTTCCTTTGTTGCCTTCAGGACAGAGTGGTGAGTTGCATGAGTTTTTCATGTGTTTTTACGGCATGTATTACATTTCTATTTTGGTTTTGCTTGCACTTTTTGTTGCATGACTTTGTAGTGTATTTATGTGGACAGGTTTTGTCTTGAAACTTCATTAAGGTATGTGTGTTATTTTTTTGCATGTGTTAAGTTGTTTTTTAAAATGTTTTAATGGTTAGGTTTCCATATTTGTATGTCTCTACTGTATTTCTTTACGGTATTACTGTTTTTTTTTTTTGTTTTTTTTTTATGACTAGATAGGTGATTATTTGTTGCTTGACTCATTCAGTTGAGTTTTTCCAATTGTGCATGCAAAAGGTTGGAGTTTGTTTATCTATGCCATTGTGTTGTGTGTCTATAATTTAATGACTGGTATCCAAATTTGTAGGTTTGGTTCATTCTGAATCTTCATTGCAGTCATGTTTCCGACACATGTGTTAAATATTATAAATCATCTATGTCCATTATGTTTATAACTGTTTGTGTTTAATGTGTCTTATATGATATTTTTATTATTTTTCAAATGATCTTCTATACTATATATTTTGCATAGAACTTTTTTAATTTAAATTCAAGAGAGTTACAATCTTTTTTTCTCAACTTCCAAATAAATCATTCCTTCTATTTCTCTTTTGACATCAGTTGTGTATTATTTTATTTTGCAATTGAAAATACTTTTGAATTGTGTGATGTCTAATATCTAGGAGTATCCTTAAATAATACTGCTGTTCCCTTTGTTTTGCTGCTCCTAAGGATTTATGGGAGTTAAAGAAACTTAAGGTAAGTTTTGTAATCAAGTTTTAGCATGTTACAGAACTAAGGTCTCTCTTTCTAACTGTTCTTCTATGTATTCAAATAATAATAATTAGAATAGTTATGATCATGATCCTATCCTATCATGGAATACATCATGCAAGACCTGGTGTTGTTATTATGACACTAAACACCTGTTTGTCCAATACAAAGCAAGTAGGGTGAATGATAAGTTTAATTTGTGAAGTCAGTTAGGAGAGTGGTTTGGTTAATGATTGCCCATTGACCAGAAGATGGCTGGTTAGTCTTGTAAATATAGACTATGGTGTTAGTGATTAGATGATAACTTAAGAAGACCCCTCCCCTGAAAATGCCAAAGAAGCTGGCGAAATGCATAGGGCGACACAAACATCTAACCTACCAAGAACTCAGGAAACAACAACTCAGGGGCTGTAATATAAAATGTCTAAATGGTAATTGTGGCTTTATGACAGTCGTGGCTAAAACACTATCTGACTATCTTAGTCAGTAATAAATTAAATCCATACAATTTACCTCATTCCATTCTGCTCTTTTCCACGAATATTCAGCTTAAAGTATGCAAAACCAAGATGTATCAAGCAAATCATAAACTAAACGAATAGCCCTTTCTAAATGTTGCTAAATGTTTGCAAAGTTTTGGAACATTTGCAAACCAATCTCACGAACTCTGGACGAGGTTAATAAATATTTTGGAAGAGTTGCCTTACCTAAACAATGTCTGAATGTCCAGGACGCGGCTGGTGGTGGCGGAGCAGACGACGCTGAGAAGACAGTGTTTGACGTGGCTGGAGGTATTTTGGACAAGCTGCCGAAGGACTATGACATAGTGACTGCGCTGGAGAAGTATCCAACGTCGTACAACCAGAGCATGAACACTGTTCTGGTTCAGGAGATGGAGAGGTTTAACAACCTGCTTCGAACTATCCGAGGCAGTCTGGGCAACCTGCGCAAGGCGATCAAGGGTGAGTATCATGACTTGAGAGAGCAACGCAAGTTCGACATTTGGTGCTGAATATGAATGCAAGTTGAGTGATCTGTGAAACTTTGGTACTAAGATCAGTTGTTTCATTTTTTAGGATCATATATTGAAAAACCCACTCATCTTGATTGTTTAACATTTAATTTTACAACAACGCTTCAATATACAATATTATTTGTTTTTGCTTTTTTAAGCTCTACATAATGGTTTTATTTCAAATGGGGCATTGTTATGTTCCATAGGTAGAAATAGAATTAAAAAAAGTTTGAAAAGTTCTCATGACCCAATCTTGCTAGTTTGCTCATTCTAATTCTTCAACTCATTCAAGTTGATTCCGCCTTACAACTTCAAGTCTACTAGGTAAAAATTAACCAAATTATCCTTCTAAATGAGACCAAAATTACTCGGATTATCTTATTCACGGTCACATATACATATATACGGAAGATTTGAACGAATAGTGTTAGCCTCTGGGGACATCGAAATGAAAAAGTAATTCGGTCCCGAGTCTAGGTCTTACTGAGCCACCTACAGTCATAGTTACTTCCCTATAGGGAAATTTGCTAAAATTAGCTGCGTAACACTGTTTAAAATGTTATTTCTATTTCAGGCCAAATTGTAATGACAACAGAGCTAGAGGAAGTCTTCAACAGTGTATTGACAGGGAAAATTCCTGCTCTGTGGAAAAAGAAATCTTATCCATCTTTGAAGCCTTTGGGCAGTTACATCAGTGACTTTCTTGCAAGGCTCGAGTTCTTACAGGTTTGTTCATTTTCAAACAATTTTCAAATGTTTACACAATGTTTCTGTAATTTTGAAGTGATTCTCATTAAGATATAATTGCCTAAGACAAAGTGCAAAGGTGCAAAGGAGTATTTTGTGATTTAATATTGCATACTGAAACCGGTCTCTAGTCAATATTATTCTCCAATATTGTTCTTTCTAACGTACATCTTATGCACATCTGACTGCATGCATCTTATAGGCTATTTGATTCTAAGATATTAACCTAATTTCAGAAATGGTTTGATAACGGGGCCCCGTCTACTTTCTGGCTTTCTGGATTTTTCTTCACACAAGCCTTTCTGACTGGAGCCCAACAGAATTTTGCTAGAAAATACAGAATTCCAATAGACCTGCTCACCTTTGATTTTGAAGTAAGTACCTTTCAGTATCTTTAATCTCCCATATGTTTGTTGAGTGTTCAGAGGTACTGCCAAGTAATCATTTGATTGCAAACCTTTCAAAGGTGTACCAACAGTTCACAGTGGGCAATGATTTTGTAGTGTAATAAAAAAGAATAGCCTAACAATAAATTTAATAAGGAACCATAGATTCAAATATTTCACCCAATTAGTTGGACATTTTCAACTTTCAGGTTATAACAAAAGAGAGACTGTCACTTTCTCCAGAAGATGGTGTCTATGTGTACGGACTGTTCTTGGAGGGAGCTCGGTGGAACGCTAAGATTCACGCCTTGGATGAATCTTTACCTAAAGTTTTATACGACTCTATGCCTTTTGTAAGTTCAATTTTAACATAACCTTGTAATTTATGACACTTTTGACCTGAAGGCTGATATATCGAATGCATTGAGTAACATAACCAAAGACTTCCAGTTACAACTATCTAAGCCAACAGCGAGGAAAGTAAGTCAACACGAACGAGGGGAGTAAGTCAACAGCGGCTGAAAGCTATACTTTCCTAAAAACAAGGAATTTGGTTGAGGAGTGTTAGTTGAACACTCTAGGTCGTTATTTTTTAATGGCTGAGTGTTTTAAGGAGTTATTTCCCCATTTAGAAGAAAGCACTGTAAAATGAGGTTTTGAATCATGTCTTGGTCAAGGCATGAGTTGTATAACTCATGAGAAGTCCACCTGTCTGTGCCAGAGATTGGGGGAGGGGGAGGCTCACCTACAATATATGGTGGATGGCTCGGATGGAAATTGAATGGATGGGTTGATTCTTAGTTGCATCAAAAATCTGACATTTTGATGCATATTATTGACTAATTATTATAAGTCTACCAAAACTTGTTTTGAAATTATTTTAATAAAAAAATATTTTTTGGGCTGAATAACTTTACTGATTAAACTGGACACTGATATTGTTATAGATGTGGCTGAAGCCTATCAAGAAAGATGAGCTGGAGGTACAGTCTGTGTACAAATGTCCACTGTACAAGACCACGGAGCGCCGAGGTACTCTGCTGACCACAGGACACTCTACCAACTTTGTCATAGCTATATTGCTGCCTAGCAAACACCCTGAGGATCATTGGATCATGAGGGGAGTGGCTCTGATGTGTCAGCTTAGCCAATGAGAACTTTCTGTATTTTTGTATTGGAATAAATTTTTTGTTAAAGTTTTGGTTTTTTTCTATAGGTATTTTTTTTCCTTGTAGCTTAACTTAAGATAATCCCTTTCAGATGTTACACTTTTCAATGGAGGCTGTTGTTGATCTTGTGTATAGAAACTGGCATTGTTTAAAACTCTGGTCTCCATATATCTAACTAATATTTACAACATAACTAACAGTACCGTATCAAAGTTGTGTCCAAGTATGTGGGTGCATACCATTGCCACTTGTCCAGTTCCTCTTCCCATACTAACCCACCTCCTCACAAAAATGTGCAATGCAATTAATTAATTTAATTATTCATGAAAATTAAATTAATTTTAATTTACAAATTATGGTTACAAATTTATGATATGAACTGTAAAATGTGTAGGCCAAATCAACTATGTAATTGCTTCATAGAAGATAGTAAAATTTATAAATAAAAAACTTTTAAAACAAAACATTTTTAAACACACTAAAAAGTAGAAAATAATTTATAAATATGTGGAGAGTATAAATACTTGTAAGATTTAATACGAAAAACGTGGGGTGCCTGCAATAGATAGTTTACAATTACTTTCACCTATTGAACTAATGTATGATTATCAATTGCATGCACCCAACGTTTTTAGTTTTAAATCTTACAAGTATTTATACTCTCCACATATTTATACATTATTTTCTACTTTTTAGTGCGTTTAAAAACGTTTTGTTTAAAAACGTTTTTTATTCATAAATTATTTTATACTTTTTAGTTTTTAATGTGTGTGGATGTTAAATCTATTTCAAGCATCTATATCAGATTAAGACAGAGGCATGTAGGAAATCTAAGGTTTATTTGAGATTCCATACAATTTTCATATATAATATAATTTTCATGATTTTTGTGTTGAAAGAAAGATAATTTTGAGAACTAGGGAATGTCGAAGCCATAATTTTAGTTTAGGGTTTTAGTTTTTTAGAAATTAGGTTTTAATTTTTTTAAAGTCTATCAGCCGACTAGCAATTTAATTTTGTTGCAGTGGTGGTTTAACTAACAGCTGGTTTCTAAGTGTCATTGAAATGTTTACGTTACAAGTTGTTTGTTTACACAAAACAAAACTTTTGTTACACAAAAGTTGTTTGAAAAAACTACATTTTAAGGTGAAATAGTTTGTATGCAAACTATTTCACCTTAAAATGTAGTTTTTTCCCTACCAAAAAGATCTGCGTTATCAGGAAAAAGATCTGCGTTATCAGGAGATATTTAATTTTGAGCTTAACATCTCAAACGTATAATAAGGTTTTGTCATAAATGCAATCTGTGAAAGTGTAAGTTTATGCCATATGCCATGAAATGTTTCGCTTAATCGTTTAAGATATAAGTGGATTACATGTTGATACATCCTTTTCTTGCTGTTCTAATATGTGTATGACGGCATGCCGACATTTTTATTAGTAATGAAAATGTCAACTGGTGTAGTAGGTCTCTAGAAGACTGTACGATAAGTTGCAGGCTGTCAGTAGAAACCAAAACCGATTCATACCATACCATAACCATCCCAGTAGTACTGTATGATTCAGAAACTTGAAAAAGGGGTGCATTCCAAAAGTAGACCAAAAAGCGGGCTGGGCAGGCTTTGCGTGGTGGAGAGAAGATACGTCAACTTAAAGTGTATTCCAAGGAGTACTAAAGGTAGACGACCACTTGGAAGACCAAGTAACGAAAGACATCTTCAGACTGGTATCTTCATTAGAAAAGGCAGGGGATAGAAGAGAACGGGAGACCAGGATCCTTTTAGAGGTTTCAGTGGCCACTGAGGTAAAATAAGGTACGGTAAGTGATAGTAGGCCTATATAAACAGGTAATATGAAGGTAGTATGTAGCTACTGTACTCAAAACCAGTGTGTTTGAATCAGCCACCAAATTGTAAACTAGCTGTACTGAATCATATTCAGTTTTAATTGACTACTCGATTACCGTACGTAGGACGGGCCAACAGCTCGTTCCATTTAAATGTGAGTATCATAAGGTTAACATGGGAAACTCCAGAGCCACTGGGGCGGAGCCCGAAAGCCCGATCAGAATAAAAACTACTTACTTTTCCTATTTAATGCCCAAAGAATCGGTGTACCGAATTTCAGCCTCTTAGGTAAATGGGAAGTGGGAGAATTAGTGATGCGTGAGTGAGTCAGTCTTTGCCTTTTATAAGTATAGATAAAAATAAAATATTTATTCAGGCAAATTACAACCAAAAGATTATTTTATTTTTATCAAGTAACTTACCTTTTTATGGTGATTGGAAATCATAACAATAATCAGAATTTATGTTACCTGGTCTAGTTAAAATAAAGTACCGGGGGACCAAACCTTGCTCGGAATCGATAAAACAATATCGAAAACAGACATAATTGGTGATAATATTTTTACGTTTGAGAAATTAAAATTATATTTTATCTTTAAATTTAAACTTGAAATAATTGAAAATAACCCTCTTATTGACAATCATCATTTAACATTTATTTTGTTTGATTACTAAAGAGTTTGAGTAAAAATATATAAGTATTTTCTCACACTTATTCAACACTGCATTACCAACACCTTTTTGACATGTGCTGCTCCAATTGGGCATCAAGAGAACTAAGACTGGATGAGAAAACTCAGTACTGTATAGCAGCTTAGAAATTTCTTTATATAGTGTAAAAACTATCATGGTTAATGCATATTTAAGCAAACCTATAGCTAGTTATGATTTGCACTTTTATTTACAACTAGCAGAGTACCCGTCCTTCGTACGGGGTTGGCGTATAAATATAAAATTCTTATTGCAGTTTTATACTCATGCTTTGCGTTTGCAATGGCAGGAGGACACGGTGCCCAGACAGCACGTGAGCTTGGACTAAACTTGGTTTTTACATATTTCTGAATTGGTATGACAAACTTGGAGTTTGGAACCCACTACAAATTTAAAACAGCTTTGGTTAAGTGAACTTGTGTGAATGCGCCAAAACTAAACTTGTTTTATTTACATATATAACCTGGTTGGCCAAGTCCACAATTTAAACACCTAACCAGACCCACGACAAGCTTGTTCATGTGAGTCTAAAGTGAGCAGTGCCATATGACAAAAGAATTTTCCCTCCACCCCTACCCAGAACGCTCCTAAAACCTGTTTCTTTGTGCTGAACCACCATTTTTGTTGGATTTAGACTTCCTCACTCTCAGTTGTCAGTTCTCACTTATCTAGTTCTGGTGTTGTGAGTTACTCGTTTCGTTACTAGTTGTGAGTTTTGTTTTGGTTTTGATACCAAGACGAAGCAAAGAAGAATTAAGGGATTCCTGTAAAGGTAAGATTTAAACTCCATTGATAAAAAATATACTTGTGTTGGTTAGTCTATGATGATATAAGTAAGCTAAGTTAAGCAAACAATTAATTTCATAGCATCAAGAACCCGTAAAATTTTGTTTATAGCCTAAATCTTTTGTGCTTTAACCTTTGACATACTCAGCGCTTCACTGAATCGACGTCACTCACTATACTATACTCTATAGTCTACTGCTGAACTCAACAGAACAGTGCCAAAATTTGTGTTTAACCTAAACCATTATTACGTTGTTTGTATTCAGTAGCCTTATTGATGTGTAAGTTCCATCACACGCTGTAATCATTATAAAAGTAAAATAGTAAGAAATAAAAGTTTTAAAAACAATTTTAAAAACAAAGGTAAGTTAACACCCTGTGTTTGCAACACCAACAAATTCCAAATAATCAAATAATTATAACAAATAAAAATAATGAAAAATGATTTTAATAATAAATTTCAATAAACCAAATAATTCTAATGCAATTGTATTTTTTATAGATCTTCTGAAGCAGGCGGTGGAGTTGATGGGTTCAGAAAAGAAGTTGAAGGTGAAGTGGAAGATAGTGGGCATTGTATTTATTATATTAATAAATTGTCTTGAAATGTGAATGTCTTGCTTTCTAAACCTCATATATAACCAATATTTTTTCAAGATCACTCATAAAGTAGGCTTCATTTTATCATAAATCTTTCTTGGTAAAAAACAAATTTTAAGAAAAAATGTGGGCTAGCAAATGAATGGTGTGAAACAGCTTATATGTTAAATAGGTATAAATTATATTACTATTACTACAGTATAGCCTATTATAATAATTATTATTATTATCTCTGATCATGACAGTAATTGAAGTATATAAAACTTCGTACCAAGTTCTGAGTGAGTCTATAGGTGTGAGCTTGTTTGCCCAAGTCTAAAATGTGCTAAAACCAATTCCAATATGAGTCTAGGCCAAGTCCAATATGAGCCTACTAAAAGTGGGCTTGGGTCTCCAAGTCCATAATAAGCCTGTTTAATTTATCAGTGTGAGCTTGTTTGCCCAAGTCTAAAATGTGCTAAAACCAATTCCAATATGAGTCTAAGCCAAGTCCAATATGAGCCTACTAAAATTGGGCTTGGGTCCCCAAGTCTCGAACAAGTCCATAATGAGCCTGCTTAATCCACCAGACCCGTTTTGTATCCATCATTCCAAGCTTAGAGTGGGTTTGTGCCCATGAGTTCACTGTAGGTTTGGGGTTGGGAATTGGGTTGGACTTGGGGAGCCAAACCCATAACAAGTTGAACAACTGCCAACTTCGGTCTCTAAAACAAGTCAAAACCAAGCCTACAGACTTTGGTCCCTGAGTCTAAACCAGGCTTGGGGACTTGGGCCAATGGACTTGGAACAAGTTCCCAGCAAGCCCATTGTGCTGTTGGGGTGTAGAATTTGGAATGTTTGAAAGTTTGGATCTTTTAATTTACGGTATACTATAGTATAGTATAGCACACCTACCATAGCTATAAAATGTTCTACCACTGCACCTAAACAATAGAAAAAAGTTATCATTGTATATCACAGCTTTTTTGTTGCTGCTTGGTTCATCAAATTAGCTGTTGTCGTTGTCATAATCATCGATCTCTAGATCGATGTCATAGATGCAAAAACATTAAT